ATAGAAACTTTAAAAAGATAAATTATAAGCAGGATAAGATCTACAAATATATCAACGTGACTGAAATTGTAAGCTTACTTTTAATAGATTTATTACCCTTTAATGATGATTTTTAATAAAAAGTGGCCATTGTTGAAGATGCAGGTGAGCGACACAGGCTTTTTAGAGCCTCTAGTTTCTCTTGCTGTCTTAAATGAATGCTTCAGTTTTTCACCTGTTTTTAAGGTGAATGATTTGTCTTTTTCTTAATTAAAACTACCAGTATATAAATTGACAAAACTACTGACATTCATTCTTGAAAAAAAAAAATCTATTAAAAGATCTAACCAAAACTTTTACAATTCATATGTGCATATTTACACGAAAAATATTGGGAACTAAATTTCAGTGTGTGTACATTTAGTGTCTAGCCTTTCTACATCCTGTTGGAGAGGCTGATGCCTAAGGAAAAAATTGGATCAAAACGACAAAAGACACAAAGTACTGATCTAAGAATACTAGCAGTCACAGAAAGCTAGTTTGAAGTCAATGAAAAGTAATAGAACATGTTTTCTCATATTGAAGTGTGTGTTCCTTACATGCATTTTTATGAAAATATTTGCCACTGGACGTTAAGCGAGATGAAGTATACCGCCAAGTAATTGGTATTCCGATAGAGACAAACTGCGACCCTTTAATAGCAGGTTTGTCACTACTGTGATGAATCAATTTACTTTTTAAAACTGTATACAGATCCAAATAAAAAAACACATTTTTCTTGGTAGATATTCGTAATAACACCGATATTTATGTTTTATTTCTCTGTATACAATCAGTGTTTACATAAACAAATACATGTAATTTAGCCACCATCAGTCATACTTACATATTCAAAATTTACATGTTATAGCGATGGATTCTTTTTTCAACTTGTTCCAAAATTGTGATTAACTAGAAATAAGGAATTATTTGAATCTGCAATAATTTTGAATTCTGGAAAATTGATAAAGAATGATGAAAACTAACCCATGGCTAAGGTTAATTTTACTTTCACTGATATTTCAGTATGAACTAACTAACCCCTCTTAGCCATGCGCGCATGGCTAACCCTATTTAGTTGGGTAAGTTTTCATCATACATTTCATATCAATTTTCCAGAATTCAAAATTATTCTAGATTCAAATAATTCCTTGTTTAGACGACTTTTTCTTTCTTTTAAACAAAATTAATTGCCTTGATACATGTATTTTGAATTAATATAAAATGAAAATTATTGAAACATGTTATTTTATATATACATAAAAATCCGAATAGATGAAGTTAAACAGTGCTATTAGGTCATTTTTAACTTGCAGTGCGGAGTGAGCTTTTTGTACATGTTGAAAGCATCACTGTGAATTTTAGACGAAGACCAGCAAAAAAAGCTGTGTTAATTTGCTGGGATTTTATCAAGTACATATAAAGATTTTGTGTCATGAATCTATACAACATATCCTCCTTTTTGATAAAGATATAGTAATTGTCATGAATCTATACAACATATCCTCCTTTTTGATAAAGATATAGTAATTGTCATGTATCTATACAACATATCCTCCTTTTTGATAAAGATAGAGTAATTGTCATGAATCTATACAACATATCCTCCTTTTTGATAAAGATATAGTAATTGCCATTAATCTATGCAACATATCCTCCTTTTTGATAAAAATAGAGTAATTGTCATGACTCTATACAACATATCCTCCTTTTTAATAAAGATATAGTAATTGTTATGAATCTATACAACATAATTATCCTCCTTTTTGATAAAGATATAGTAATTGGCATGAATCTATACAATATATCCTCCTTTTTGATAAAGATATAGTAATTGTCATGAATCTATACAACATATCCTCCTTTTTGATAAAGATAGAGTAATTGTCATGAATCTATACAACATATCCTCCTTTTTGATAAAGATAGAGTAATTGTCATGAATCTATACAACATATCCTCCTTTTTGATAAAGATATAGTAATTGTTATGAATCTGTACAACATAATTATCCTCCTTTTTGATAAAGATATAGTAATTGTCATGAATCTATACAACATATCCTCCTTTTTGATAAAGATATAGTAATTGGTGAGTTAATACATTTTCTCCATATGTCTTATTCCATTGGAAAGATTCATACGAGTATCCACAAAAGTGAACAGACCATAACCCGCGTTCTTATTAAACAGGCCAGAAGGGCTAGCTTGACCTGTAATTATTGGCTGTCCTGAATCTATTTGACCCTTTTGTAAAGAGACTTATTATACCCATGCTAGTGATAAGCTGGGGATATATAATATTCATAATGTCGGTCTGTCTGTCCGTCTGTTCGTTTGTAATATATCTACACTCCTTGGGTGCTCTCAAAGTACAGAATGGATTGGAATCCAACCAATAATATGTCTTGTGTGGGTTGTGAAATTGACACCATATGTTTACTAGTATTTTATCTGTTGAGGGTTTATGGGGGAAACTTTGGACCAAAAAAGAGAAAATCAGAAGTAGTATAGTGTAACTACCTGCAGTCCGCAACTCCTCCGCAATCACAAAAGAGTTTAACGTAAAAGTTGTATGAGATACTAATTAAATATTTTAGTTGCGCATCATATATTTATTTTCTGCAAGGTGGGGCCCCCCGAGGGGGATTATTGACGGGTCCAAATAGAAATATCATTAATATACGATAACACCTGCTAAACCACAATTCCTTCCAAACTAATAATTTTACATTGAGTACTATGATCAATTGCCGAAATTGGATTTTTTTTATATTTTGTAAATATAAGATTTTGGTTTAAGCAAAACCAAATGGCATTCAAAGATTTTTGCCACTTCAGAAAATATTGACTGTTAAAAATTAGCAAATTTCACCATTTCACTTTGTTGAAATAGTTATTTCTTTTTATAGTGATTAAGATTATAACACAATGTTGACTGCTGTACCCCAGTCTTTGACAATTTTACCTATTATGTCTGTTTGTTTTGCTCACACATTGTTGTCAATATAATAGAATTCCATGCGACTGTCATGCAAGTGAGATATTTAGCTAGCTATAAAACCAGGTTTAATCTACCATTTTCTTCATAAGGAAATGCCTGTACTAAGTCAGGAATATGACAGTTGTTTTCCGTTCGTTTGGTGTGTTTGAGCTTTTGATAAAGGACTTTCCCTTTTGAATTTTCCTTGGAGTTCGGTATTTTTCGATATTTTACTTTTTAGCACTTTCGTAAAACTTCGGAACTTTAGACCAGAATGAGCAAAATATATAATATAGGGAAAAAATTAACCTGAGGTATTAGCATATTTTGACAATTGAAATACAGTTTTACAACATATTTTTACCAATAAAACAGTACACTGATGATAATCACTGATATTTATCAGCTAAAACTGCTGAAATTGGCTAATTTTCAGCTTCATTTTGACCTTAAATGGCTATATATAGATGGCTCTCCATAAAGAGACTACCATTGAATATTTTTGAAAAAATGTTTTGCACAGAGAGTATTTGCCTCCAAGGTTTCATGTATGCAAACTTTCAGGTCAATATGATAACATTGCATTTGGAGCCTATTGCGTGGTTTTTTGGCAGACTGGCTCTTAATGTATTTTTTTCTTTCTTTAATGGTGCTGTTCCGTTCGTTTCTTTTTATGGATTGCACATGTTGAGATTGTCCGAATCGCACATGTTTGTACAGGGGTCTTGGATTTTAATGAACGTAAAATTTGCATGGCTAAAATAATTTTACAACAAGCATATAGATTTTTTATTTTGGATAGAATCACGAAATGGGGCGAAAGATACCAAGGGGACATTCAATACCAATGATTCTAGAGAAACTGACAACGCCATGCCAAAGAAACCCGAAAGACGGAGATAAAACCAACAACTTAAAAAAACACGACATAGTAAACTAAAGGCTGATCAGCAGGAAAACCTTCAAAAACTGTGGTGATCTCAGGTGCTCCGGAAGGGAAAACAAAAACTATTCCACTATTGGCACCCATCGTGTTACTCATTTTTATGAACTAATTCAGTGATGAGTCTGATTCGGCGATGTCACAATATTTAAGAAAAGAGCATGCGATTATGGAACATATCCGTGATCATCTGTGACACAAAAATGTCCCATAACGCCAACCAATGCAATTCATGATGGCGTCCGTTAAACTCTCGAACAAATGACTCTAACTTTACTGCTTTGACCAATTGGTTCAATAGCTAATTTGTAGGCAGCAAAAATATAGTTTTATTGAAGAAGTATGATTCCAGCGTTATACGATATATTATCTATAAAGCTAACAAGTTTAGGAATTGTCCTTTCAAATGTTCTCTATGGAATTATTCACTTATTGATACAGTTTATAATTATACCGTTTTTGTTTAACTAATAAATCTGATATTTTTGGGGTAATCATCAGTTTGTTAAAGTATAATAGTTTGATGCAATACCAGAATATTTCTTTAGTTGGTCTTTTTATTATTTAAATTTTGTAATGGGCATTGCACAGGACCGATTGCCTGTAGTAATAATAAAGTTTCATTATGAAATCTTCTAGGAAGTAAATCAACCGATATTAGAGTGAAGGACGGCTTAATTCTTTATGAGCAGGTTAAGGTACTTTGAGCTTGGTTTAAGTAACTGTGAGCAATGTTTGATACGATAAAATATTGACTAATATTTTTCTTTTGTTTTGTTATGTAAGAGTTAAATGCTTTTCCTGTACTGATTTGTTTTGCCTAATCTAAATGTATTTGTTGTTAGTTCTAATGATCGAGAAAAAAATAGGTGAGAGTTCAGATCGCAAGAAAATGTCCAAAGTCAGGAACTTCGTCAGTGGTTGTCTTGTATCTTATCTAAATGCTTCTTTGCCCAATTGATGTTTTTTAGCTTTTAATTTGCGTAAACCTCATATATATACATTGGTCGACATTCAAACTCTGGTGTCACTATTCCTAGGTGGCAAATATGGGATGCAACTTGTAAACTTTTATTTTCTAAATAAATACCTAATGGCAGCATGTTCCCGCGCTTGCAATTGTCAAAGTTCATATGTTAATAAATATAATGTCGGAATTTAATGTACAGATGCAGCTGAATAAGTTATGTACAAAATGTAAATACACATCACCATATTAATGCGAGCGTTTAAATAAGAATGCAATACATATTTTGATTTCTTCTAAAAATAAATAAAGCTGGCAAGTATCCCAAAACAAATAGTTTTGCTTCAATTACTCTCAAATAGTATTGCTCCAATTACTCTCCATCGTAGAATCTGTTCTTAGAACCTTGGACTATTGTGAGGACTTCTCCATACACCAGTCATTTCCGGTATCTGAATTTTATCAAGAGACTCTTCTTTCAGTGTTTTCTGTACATCTGTTGCCACGACAACGAGAGCGTCCATGAGTTTTGTCCATGAAGTTTTATGCAGTTCTGTCAAATATGTACTCTTCATTGTTTCTTTAACCATCGATGTCATTACCGATCCCATCCACTGAAATATAAATCAGGTTCTTTTTAATTATGTGTATGTGCACATTCACACCAGGTCACTGTATAATTTTCATATGAAAAGTCCTGTTGGTAGCTAGATTAAGCGCTCACAAACATGTTTAAACCGTCATAGTCTGTATGTGCCTGTCTGAAGTCAGAATCATGTTCTTTTATGATTGTCGTTTGTTGCTGTCTGCCTAATTTATATTTTGTTCGTTGTGTTTGGCATACATCAGACCGTTATTTTTTTGTCTTTTGAATTGTTTCCATTTTGTCATGCTGTGGCTTTTTGTAGCTTACTATACGGTATGAGTTTTGCTCATTGTTGAAGAACGTACGATGACTTATAATTGCTTTAATCCACGGTATTTGATTTCTATTGGAATTTCGTCTCATTGGCAATCGTACCACATCTCCTTATTGTATTTCAATGTACTTAAACTGACCATAAGAATTCAATCCATCGTACACTCTTTTATCGGTTTGCAAACTTCATAGAAAGTTTCATCCAGCAACGTTACATCTTTGTCATATTTGTTTTTCGTAAATTGTTTTGTTATAAATTAGGCCGTTAGTTTTCTCAATTGGATTGTTTCATATTTTTCACGGCGGGGTCTTTTATAGCCGACTATACGGTATGGGGTTTTCTCATTGCTGAAGGCCGTACGGTTGCCTATAATTGCTTACATCCACTTCCTTTGAACGTTGGTGGATAGTTGTCTCATTGGCAATCATACCAAATCTCCTTATTGTATATCAAAGTACTTAAACTGACCATAAGAAATCAACCCATCCTACATTCTTTATCGGTTTACAAACTTCATAGATTTCATACAGCAACGTTATAAAGAGTACAGAAAGACACGATTTTGTGCAATTTGTTTGCATTATAAACGTTAAACTTTTAACTCTTACTATATATATATATATATATATATATATATATATATATATAATATATGATTTGCATATGTACAAATATTTAAATGTGATTGGTCTGTCATAATATATTTACACTTCGATGGACCATGTTGCCGAAACACATATATATATATATGTAAACCCCCAGTGTATGTTCATGAACCTTACATATGAATGGTATCCTTTAATTCTAAGCAAGTTGAAAATGGAGAAAGAAAAAATAACAAATGTTTTGGATTGAGAATGGTAAGGATTAAACACATTTTTCTAGAGGTTATAGATCATGTGTAAACTGGGTCGCTGACTCACAACTTTACATATTTTATACAAGTTCATTCAGTGTGTAGGTTAAACCTTTAAACGGCCAGTTTACACATCAATAACCTTTAAACCTATACATAATAAATATTGACTTTCGCTAGATTTAAAGTACCTTAAAATGTTTTGGTCCCAATGCACGTCTGTGATGAGCTTTACATGTGTTGACCATCAAGTCCTCAAGAGTATCCGGATCATCAACAGCATCTATATACTCCGTTAGTTTGTACATGTATGATAAAGCTAGACCTCGAAAGCGTTTATTTGCAGGCATATCTTGTTCTCGGAGGTCCTTGAATTCTTTGTAGAAAGCTTTAGATTCTGGGTGCATTTTGAAAAGTCTGAAAGAACAAAGAACTATTTAACCAATGCTAATGTACATGTTTTAACACGTTTTGATCCCAGTCGCACGCACTGCGAGTGATTTATTTATAGCTTCGACCGTTCGTCCGTCAGAATTACAACAATAATGGCATAGAGCTTTCATCATGTTCATACTTTTATCTCATTTTCTCATCATAATTATTATCGTTACCAATGTATACGGTCATTTTGATTTGACAATTTTGACATGAGTTAAGACCTTGTGAATGAATAAAACACCTTTGAGACTGTTTGCCAGAAAGCGTTGATACTTGTTCGGATTGTTTGTCAGTATGAGAAGTTAAACAAACTATACCATCATTCTTATTTGACAATTTCTGCAGCAGTTATGGGACTTTGATCATTTGTTATATATCGTATCCCAATGACACATGCTGAAAGCAACTCCTCTGAGATCGTTTGACAGCTCTCATACCTGGTATGATTGTTTGTCGTCAAATCATGACTTGGCGAAACTATAAACAAACTGCACTGTTATTTCAGTTTGCAATTTTCTTCTTTTCTTCTGGAACTTTGGCACTCCTCAGCCTATTGACGCATACTCGCACCTTGTGCCGGACTGTATTCATAAGAATGCAACAACGGGGGACATTTCGCTAGGAAGCAGCCGTTGAACACTGCAATTCAAATCATCGTCATTGGTATGCACTGATGTAGTTAGCCTATTTTGGCACAAATGTTTTAGAACTTTCGGTTTTTAATGCTCTGCAGGGTCGTAATTGGTTTGACCATCCGACTATTATCCTTCGAGTGTCACTGTTTTTGTGTAGACGAAACGCGAGTCTGGCTTACTAAATTATAAGGCTAGTATTTCAGATGATTTTTATTTGTTGTTGTTTAAAATTACTATTTCGATTTAAATAATATGGACACAACTTAAATTGTACTTAAGCGAGAAGCCAGTTGTTGGTTGGGGTTTTTTTTTGTTACTATTTCTGTCCGTTTTCGTTTCCTGTGTGACTTTCCTGGATTTACTCTGATGATTTTAGAATGACGTTTCTTGCTGAAAACACTGGAAAGAACAATACGCTGAACTTGCCTTGCCTTGCATTTACAATATCCACATATTTTCTTACTTATATAGCTTAAAGGCTTTACCTGACAATAATACTTAATGCTTCTGAATTGATTTAATTCCTTGTAAATATCAGAATGGTCCCGTCTTCTTTCAAATTGACTATTTCAGTATTGAAATAAGAATAACATACATGTCTAACATAAAGTGAAAACAAAACAACAATACGTGTGTACGTTACGATGTTTACTTTAACATATAAGAAACAACCTATGTAATCGTCTCTGAAATATGTCTGTAATATCGGCTGTTGTAAGTTAAGCAAATGTATTATTATTTTATTTTATTTTCTCTCTATCTTCATACCATTTCTAAAATCAGAGAATATCGTGTATTGCGCTTTGGTCCGTTATCGTCAAAATTAGTTTAAATACAGATTCCAGTGTTATAACATGCGGCTGTAAAGAAATATTTCACGACAAACCAAAATAGTGCGATATAAGACGATATACAATAATCTTAGAGGCTATGTAAAAATGTAATTTGAATCTTATTGGAGTAGAAATACATTTTAGAATTTCTTTTCTAGCAAACATTCACGACAGCGAATTAATTTATAGAGGTAAACAATGACGCAAATGTTGCAAAAACAGCTAAATTGGTAATTGTTATTCGTTTTATGATACCATGATGTATTGTTCGGCTTGTTTGTTAATGCATAGATATAGGCTACTTGGTATAAGAAGATGTGGTATGAGTGCCAATGAGACAACTCTCCATCCAAGTCACAATTTGTAAAAGTAAACCATTATAGGTCAAAGTACGGCCTTCAACACGGAGCCTTGGCTCACACCGAACAGCAAGCTATATAGTATGGAACGCCATGACTGTCTTCTAATATTGATTGTTTAATATGTTCGGTGCTTTATGCATTATTTTCAGTTGTATTTATATTAGGTTCAGTAGTTTTCATATTCTGTTCAGTAGTTTTGACATTATGTTCAGTAGTTTTGACATTACGTTCGGTGCTTTGGTTATTATGTTCAGTAGTTTCATTATTATATGCAGTGGTATTTAAATTATGTTCGGTACTTCTGACGTTATATTCAGTGCATTTTGCATTATGTTCAGTACTTTCGACATTATGTTCAGTACTTTCGACATTATGTTCAGTAGATTCAATATTATTTGCAGTACATTATGTATTACATTCAGTGGTCCCGGTTTCTTTTTATTCGGTGGATTATTCATTATGTTCAGTAAAAGCATCAGTATTGTACTCGGTTCAATGAACTATATGTTCAGTAGTTGTATCATTATGATGATGCAGTAAAAATTGGGAAATCAATAACGGAAATTGTTGGAAACAAAAACGAACGCGGACATTTTTGACGGACGTTTTCTTCATGGACACTTTTACGGGATGGAATGAAAATGGAAGAAATGGAAGCAGTATTAAATTGGTTTGTTTTACGTGGAACGTTGGCAATTTTCACAAGGAAAAAAATACTCCTGACTTAATTTGTAAGATTCATGATTGATTGATTGTTGTTTTCTGAACGTATAGTGGCAAATATTTCACGCATATTTATGACGGAGAGAAGAATTTTTAAACAAAAAATAAGAAGTTGCATGCATTGTCGTTGATACACCATGACCTTAGAGAGACAACAAAAAGACAAACAGCAAAAAAAATTTATATAAAAACATATTCTATAGCTTTTGTATTCCTAGAGGGTAGCCCTGTTTGTTGGTTGGTTGTAGCATACTAATCTCATGCACCGACTTTTAAGAGACCACCAAAAATCTCCTTCTGAGTATTCTTATTGTATTCTGCATCCTACCCCGCTAATAGGCGCTTAAATATCAGATATTTATTTGAAATAACCCAAGATAAATGAGGTCGTGGATGAGGTTTACAGAATAGAGAATAATGCCCCTACCCCCAAAAAAGAGAAGGTGGGCAAAACATAAAGAATAGAGAATAAAGGGGTGCTTCAAAAAAAAATGTTTAAAACTTTGGAAAAAGGTAAAAAAAAAAAAAGTGATTACAGACATTTTCTGCATACCGAATTTATTATTGATATGGAATGAAATGTTGAACTGGTCGTAATCAGAACTGGTTAATTGATGTTACCATGCAAATTATGTACATTCGATATTTTCCTCGAAAATCACGATCTTGCACGAGTTAACAAATCTTGACGTACTATTTCGTCTACTATTGCAGACAAAGATAATCATACATTCTTCTCCTGCATTGTGTCAGAAATTATTACAACAAAGATAAATTACTACAACAAAGATAAAACAGTTCGTGATAGAGTTCAGACAAAAATGACAGCAAAAAGCTCTGCAATAGCAGACAAGAGTGCACACGCTGAAATGTCTCGCCTTCTTTTCTAATCATTGATATTATGTTGATAGTCCTAAATATAAAGCTTTCTTACAACTGTCACATAAACTTAACATTAACCAAGAAAACTAAACATTGACCAATGAACCATGAAAATGAGGTCAAGGTCAGATGAACCATGCCAGGCAGGCATGTACAGCTAACAATTCTTCCATACAACAAATATAGTTGACCTATTGCTTATAGTTTAAGAAAAACAGACCAAAACACAAAAACTTAACACTGAGCAATGAACTGTGAAAATGAGGTCAAGGTCAAATAAAAACTGCGCGACTGACATAAAGATCATAAAATATTTCCATACACCAAATATAGTTGACCTATTGAATATAGTATTAGAAAAAAAAGACCAAAACTCAAAATCTTACCTTTGACCACTTAACCATGAAAATGAGGCCAAGGTCAAATGACACCTGCCAGACTGACATGTACATCGTAAAATATTTCCATACACCAAATATAGTTGACCTACTGCATACAGTATAAGAAAAACAAACCAAAACACAAAAACTTAACATTGAGCAATGAACCGTAAAAATGAGGTCAAGGTCAAATAAAACTTGCCAGACAGACATGAACATCGTACAATATTTCCATACACCAAATACAGTTGACCTATTGCAAACAGTATTAGAAAAACAGACCAAAACACAAAAACTAAACTATGACCACTGAACCATGAAAATGAGGTCAAGGACAGATGACACCTGCCAGTTTGACATGTACCCCTTACTATCATAACATACACCAAATATAGTAGACCTATTGCTTATAGTATCTCAGATATGGACTTGACCACGAAAACTTAACCTTGTTCACTGATCCATGAAATGAGGTCGAGGTCAAGTGAAAACTATCTGACGGGCATGAGGATCTTGCAAGGTACGCACATATCAAATATAGTTATCCTGTTATTTATAATAAGAGAGAATTTAACATTCCAAAAAATCTGAACTTTTTTTTCAAGTAGTCACTGAACCATGAAAATGAGGTCAAGGACATTGGACATGTGACTGACGGAAACTTCGTAACATGAGGCATCTATATACAAAGTATGAAGCATCCAGGTCTTCCACCTTCTAAAATATAAAGCTTTTAAGAAACTAGCTAACGCCGCCGCCGCCGTAGCCACCTCCGCCACCGTAGCCACCGCCGCCACCGCCGGATCACTATCCCTATGTCGAGCTTTCTGCTACAAAAGTCGCAGGCTCGACAAAAAACCAGAAAACAACTAGTCATAAATATCATACATTCAAAGAGCTACATTGAAATTTATGCTGGTATGCAAGGGTATAGAATGAAATATTGTACAAAGTGCTACAAAAAATGAACATTGAGTATCAGTATGGTTCATTTATTAAGATTTTTTATCTTCCAAATTCAAGCTGTTTACACAAAAACTAACTAGTTCTAAGTGTAAATATGATTACCATAGACTGTCTATTAGACAGGTAATGAATATCAAAATACAAAGTGCAAAACTTTAATTATGTGCAAATTTTCACGATTTCTGTACAGTTATGTTTCTTATTATTTTAAAGTAATGCATAAAACATGACCCCTTTTGTTTAATAAGAGACAAACTACCCAAACCAATAACTTAATATCTGTTCTTGAACAGAGCGTTTAAAAACATATTTCGGGATTTAGTCTCTAGATCCACCAAAGATAGCCAGAATGAAGAGGAATAGATTGACAATATCCAGTTACATGTACAGGTTCGAGGCTAATCCGTGTTACCATGAATTATCATTGATATGGTCATATTTATGAATCAACTTTCTCTATTCTGTAAACCTCATCCACAACCTCATTTATCTTGGGTTATTTCAAATAAATATCTGATATTTAAGCGCCTATTAGCGGGGTAGGATGCAGAATACTATAGGAGTATCTGCAAGGAGATTTTTCGTGGTCCCCTAAAAGTCGGTGCATGAGATTAATATGCTACAACCAACCAACAAAAAGGGTTACCTACTAGGAATACAAAAGCTATTATAGAATATGTTTTTATATTTTATTTTTTGCTGTTTGTCTTTTTGTCGTCTCTCTAAGGTCATGGTGTATCAACGACAACGCATGCAACTTCTTATTTCTTGTTTGAAAATTCTTCTCTCCTCATAAATATGCGTGAAATATTTGCCACTGTACGTTCAGAAAACAACAAACAATCAATCAATCATGACATCTTACAAATTAAGTCAGGAGTATTTTTTTTCCTTGTGAAAATTGCCAACGTGTCAACGTAAACCAAACCAATTTAATACTGCTTCCATTTTTTCCATTTTCATTCCTGATCCCGTTAAAGTGTCCATGAAGAAAACGTCCGTCGAAAATATCCGCATTCGTTTTTTTCTGAAAATTTCCGTTATTGATTTCCCGACTTTCATTGCATCATCATAATGATACAACTACTAAACATATAGTTCATTGGACCGATTATAATACTGATGCTTTTACTGAACATAATGAATAATCTACCGAATATAAAGAAACCGGGACCACTGAATGTAATACATAATGTACTGCAAATAATATTGAATCTACTGAACATAATGTCGATGGTACTGAACATTATGAAAAATGCACTGAATATAACGTCAGAAGTACCGAACATAATTTAAATACCACTGCATATAATAATGAAACTACTGAACATAATAACCAAAGCACCGAACATAATGTCAAAACTACTGAACATAATGTCAAAACTACTGAACATAATATGAAAACTACTGAACAAAATATAAATACTACTGAACGTAATGCATAAAGCACCGAACATAGTTAACAATCAACATCAGAAGACTGTCATGGCGTTCCATAATATAGGGCCCCAAAAATGGCTAGTGTAAAACCATTCAAACAGGAAAACCAACGGTCTAATCTATATAAAAAACGAGAAACGAGAAACACTTATGAACCACATCAATAAACGACAACCACTGAACATCAGGTAAAGCCTCTTTCAGCGACCGTAGCCAGTTTTTATTGGTGATAGCAGGCGAAGTACCGGGACAGAACCACCAACCTTCGGCGGAAAAACTGTCAATCCTTTACAATTAAGATCGCGGAGTCCAACAAATCTCACCACGAGTGGGCCATAGCTATTTATATGACATGCTGTATAGGTATAAATGAAAGGTTTATAGTTTCATTCTATAGAATGTTGTTATATCACATTATAATAGATATAAGAAGATAAAATGTCTGTGAATGTAAATGTCATGATGAGTTTTAAGGACACTAATTTTGGAGTAATAAATCGTTTACTTTCATTTTTTGATAGCTTATTATCATCTCAATTTGTTTCCCATCACGGAAGTCTGTTTGTTGAAATCAAAATCGTAATGGATTTAATATCTAACCTTTCATCAGTATATTAGATATTTGTATAGAAATAAAATTACTTTAATTTCAGACATTATAACTTTAATTTTTTTTCAATTATGATAGTAATAACTATGTTGAGTAACTTATATATTATAATTAAGGTTCTCTAATAATTATAATCTTACTCAAAGAAATGGTTAATTGTATGCAGCAAAAGCTTCGTCAAAAATTTGAAAAAAGATATAATTAGTTGTCATAAGTATGAAATTCCAACATATATATTCAATTTGGGATTACACTGAATTCGCTTATGTTTTTGAAATAAATGAATGGAGTGACCTTCGATCGCTTGAAGGTTATTTACAATAGAATATTATCTCGTGTTTACTTTCTTCTCTTCGTAGCAACCATTTGTTTTCCTTATGGGAAAAGGAACTTAGAAATTTTTGAGAGTCCTTGAACTGTTTTTATATGAATATATATACATGTACTAGTCAACAGGCTATATTAGGCAATTCATTTTCCATATAAAATGAAATTTGATACACAGTACCAAGCTAAAGAATTGCCTAAATGGTCTAATCATAATTTACAGAGTGTTGTTTTCTTATCAAAACCATTGATTTAGTCAAAAACGCGAAAAAAATTATTTGCAATTTTACTAATTTCAAGAGTCAATTTCTTCACCCAAAATTTAAAAAAGTGATATTAAAACTTAAAACATAAACATGGTCTTAGTCAATATTTTGAATGCCTTTGCTGATGTTTGAATTTTAAATTTAATGTTGAATTTCTTATCATGGTTTTTGATATTTTCATAGATCTCTAAATCGAACATTTGTGAAATATTCCAAATGCAATATCAATATCAACTTTTAATTCATTGAGTTCTTTTCATAAGAACAAAAAGTTTGAATATTTTTACTTTTTAAAAAAATTTCAAGCAGAGAGAGAATGAAATGAATAAATTATGGGAATAGTAAGTTATCGTGATATCTAAAGACGACTTATCTGTACTCTGTCAATGAAGTTCATTTCTAAACATAAATTTATCTACTGATATATTAACATAATATTGAAATGAAAAGTTAAAAATTATACATTTTAAGCATAAATAGTAAGGCGAATAAAGATAGATATTGTGTTGAAAATCAAAATGTATAAAAAAGGATGTGAGGTACATGTATAAATGTAAATAAAACAGTCACCTGACGACTAGAAAAATATATAAAGGGCAGAATACTCTTTCAAGATTAGACAGGTTTCTGTACAATATATCAATCTCTAAATCGCCCAAAGACGAGAAAGGCGGGGATGAATTTAGCCGAGACTATGAAATATATGTTATCAACACCAAATTGTCCAAATGACCCAAAATAAACCAAAAAAAAAACCAAAAAAAAAACCCCATTAAAATCTAACAAAAAACATATTCCTGAATTGGAATATGTGGCGGGGTTAAAGTAGTATTCCATCTGAACCACCCCTTTTATTCATCTCAAACAGTGAAATAATGTACAATAGAAATCATTACATGAATAGCCTCTAACTTGATAAAAACGGTATAAGATAGATTAGAGTCGGCAAGTCAAATCAATAAACACTTTTCAGGCTTTCACACAATTCAGATGCATGGATACATTTTGGCTCGCTCTAAATGTTCGTTTATACATTACATTAACCCAACCCCCCTTTTCCAAAAAAACCCAACAAAAAACAAAAACTGTGTAAACTTTCTACTACAGACTAGCAGATTGTACATTGTTGGGGTAAATTTCAGACCAAGAAGAAGAAGACCGGCCGTATTATATAAACAATACACAAATATGGATGTCTCTGTACATAGGAAAAAATATGTAAAAATGAGATTGTATTTTTATATTTGAGTTTACATTTTCAGTAAAATCTATACGATCATTTAAACCAGCACACATTTTAAGACCCACAAATCTCCTTAAAAGTACGTAGATCTTTATTGCGTAAATTATAATATCTTGAAAAAGACGTAGATTTGAAACATTATGGTTGATTTTCAAATACTACAAATGTTCTCTTAAGGAATAAATTTGTTTCTTTTACAATGTGGGTAACTTTTTTTCTTTTCATCAATCACACAGATCTGAAATTCTACTTTGATCGTACAGTGCTGTACTTAAAATTTTCAGTTTTTTTATTCTCATGACTATTTTCTCAATTTGTCAACCCTATTTCTCTTTTCTTTTTTCTTGGGTTTTGGTATTGATCAGAATGTTAGAAATGAGGCATTAATTGAGTAGGTTTACTTACTTCATCAGCATTTTAATTCCATTGTTTGTTTTATCTCCCCATAGAACATACCAACTTTCTTTTAGTGCCCGGATTTCGTCTTTTGAAAACACTAAAGCTTTGCGTATTGACATGATCAATATTGGACTGCAAAATAAAAAAAGTAAAAATAAAACAATTGAATATAAAGAAAAGAAGGTGGTATGATTGTCAATGAGACAATTCTCCACCAAAGACAAAATGATGTAGAATTTTTAAACAACTATAGGTTACCGTACGGCGTGAAGCCCATTTTCTAATTCCAACAAAAATCAAAGCTGGTTCTAATATAAAATTGAATTTGTCCAATTGAATATCTAGAGCTCTGTTGAATATCTATATCATCATTTAATTATTTTGGTATTTCAGAAAATATATAATTATAATAACAGTTGAAACAAATGAACATATATATATACCTACGTTAATTTTTCAATGTACGTTCCATGTCAAAATATGATATAAAATAAGTACAAATGTATAAACTTAATCATGTCATTTCAAATGTTATCTAATGAACTATGGAAGATTCTTTCAAATCGTTTTAACCAATTTCTTTATGTATTTTAAATCAAAAGCGGATGAATGAAAATCAAATTCGTCGCACCGAGCTCGTTTATTTTAAAATGAAAAGACCTATACAAAAGGGGAATAGTATCCTTTGTATGAATAAGTAAAGAAAATATCCTTTGATTATTTTTTCGGTGTTTAGATGTTGTGTTAATAGAATGGAGCGTAAAATATCATAGGCAATGATACTTCTCGTGATTGCATCGCTTTCTGTAAATATGTTTACCTTGGTGATGTTCAGTTGAGCAGTGAAAATCTGTAATATTTTATTAGTTAGCACTCACTTAAATACGAACTGTTCATGATTTTTCTGACAAAAAAGAGCTATCCTTTCTTTTCTATTATGTCACGAGGAAACTTACTACATATACCAGTTTTGATGTATTGAATATTTTCTGATGTTAATATTTACCATACAAATATTGTTAAAACATTTCTTTTTATAGGAATTGATTTTATTTGCAAACGATAATTTAAAATCTTGTCAAAATAATGAATATGAATAATTATACATGTATATGATAAATGGATTGATATATGTTTGTGTAACTTAGTCTTTTTCAAGTTCTAAATAAATTACTTTCTAGATAACAAAAAAAAAGGGGGGGATGATGTAACAAAGTGTCAAAATAATGAATATGAATACTAGTATCTATATAATTGGATTGATATTAATATATGTTTGTGTAACTCATAACAAAATAAAAATCAGGATAAAGTAACAAGAAGAAAACCTACAGAAAAAAAGAAATTTTTATACAGATTAATGACTAATACATGAAAAAGTAAAGTCATTAGCACATAGTCTTTTCCGTTTAGCATTCCTTTGTTTTAAGTAACAGTCAAGATCAAGACATCCTTTTGTTTTTCCTAAGCCTGTAGCTGTTTTCTTTTCACATCAGATCTCCCCTTTATCGGTAAATACTCTTAAACCTGGTGATAGTTTGTGTAGCTTTTCGTCCTTCTCTTTACATTTACTCATCTATATTCTTATTGATTTCGTCTTTCTTAGCTTCTAACAGCTACGCACCCTGTGTCTATTAGCTATTTACACTGTAATATGTTTTCTGTCTGTCTCTAACAACTAATCATCCTGTTTCTAACAGCTATTCACCCTAATGCATACACCTTTCACTCTTTTTTAACAGCTATTCACAGTTTCTAACAGCTATTCACCCTAAAGCATACAGCCTTTCAATCTATTTCAAACAGTTATTCACAGTTTCTTACAGCTAGTCATCCTGTTTCAAAACAACTTTTCACTCTGTATCTAATAGCTATTCGCCGTATTTCTAACAGCTATTCACCCTGTCGTGTTTCTAACCGCATTCACACTAATTCAAACTGCTATGCACACCGTCTAACAGCTACTAGTATTTAAACTGTTTCAAACAGCTATTCACACTGTTTCTAGCAGAGAGGCGAACGATACCAAAGGGATTTTATAACTCATAAGTCGAAAACAAACTGATAATGCCATGGCAAAAAACGTAAGACGACAAAATACAAACAGCACACAATCAACAGCAAAGAAAACTAAAGACTGAGCAACACGAACCCCACCAAAAACCGGAAAATAACAAAATAACACTATTCAAACGGTTTTCTGATAGATAGTCAATTTTTACTAGATAATGATGTAAAAGACCTTGAAAATATATCAGATAAATGCCAAGAAATCTTATTATGTTATGTAAAAGTCTTTATAATATTATATGCAGATGATACAGTTATTTTATCTGAGTCAGAGGAGGATCTGCAACATGCATTGGCAGTTTTTGAGCAATATTGTAATGAATGGAAACTCACAGTTAATACAAGTAAAACTAAAATTGTAATTTTCAGTAAAAAGAAATACAAGGTTAAACCAGAATTTAAAATTTATGGTAAAAATATTGATGTCTTAGACTCATATACTTATCTGGGTATTGTATTTAATTATAATGGCTCTTTTTGTTCAGCTAGAAAAAAATTATTGGAACAGTCCAATAAAGCATTGTATGCACTATATAGAAAGATAAGAAATATTGCAATTCCCGTAGATATACAGCTAAAGTTATTTGATTGTCTTATTCTACCTATAATGATTTACTCTAGTGAAGTATGGGGATTTGAAAATAAACAGGGACTGGAACGGATGCACTTGCAGTTTTGTAAAAATATTCTGCACGTGAGAAAAAGTACTCCAAATTTTATGGTTTACGGGGAACTTGGTCGTTATCCCATTGATATTACTATTAAACTACGCATGGTTATGTTTTGGAATGATATGCTTTCAAATGAGAATAAATTATCTAATATTTTATATAGACTTATGTTACAACTTCACCAGAGTAAACCCAAACATCTTAAATGGGTTGCGTACATCAAATCCATTCTTGATGAAAGTGGTCTTACTTTTATATGGAATGATCAGATACCTATGAATAGAGAAATGTTGAAATCTCTTGTCAAACAAAAACTTGTGGATCAGTTTATACAACAATGGTTTTCTGTAATTAATAATTCTTCAAGAGGAGGATTCTATGGTAAATTCAAAAATATATTTGAATTAGAACCCTATCTACTACGATTGGGAAATACTGATAGATTGTATATGGCTAAATTTAGATGCTCAAATCTTAAATTCCCAATTGAAACGGGAAGATGGAAAAAATATTTTAAAAGAAAATAGGATATGTCATCTATGTAATCAAAATATTGGCGACGAATATCATTATATGAGTGTTTGTTCACATCCTAGTGTGTCACTTCTTAGACAAAATCTCGTACCTAATTATTACTTACAATATCCTTCAAGGCAGAAATTAATCGGTTTACTTTCATTGTGCAACATAAAGGTGTATAGGAAAGTATGTACTTTTCTTAGAAAGATTACTTATTTGTTGTAGATACAATTTTTATACATTATATATATATTTAGGTACTCACAATCACTGAATAAATAGGAAGATATCTGTACAAATGTAATCCTTTAAACTTAATAGGTAATATATATATACTGTATATATCTCAATGTCATGAAAATCACGTGCTATTATACATTACTCTGCTGCCGATTTATGTGTATACTTTATCATGTTTTGACCTCTTGTACACGTTTGTGTCTGAGGAAATAAAATATTTTGTCTTGTCTTGTCCTGTTTTTACCGCATTTTGTTTCTAATAGCTATGTACACTATAACTAACAGCACACTGTAATTAACAGCTATTCACGCTGTTTCTAACAGCTATGCACACTGTAACTAACAGCTATTCACGCTGTTTCTAACAGGTATTCAAACTGTTGTAATGATCGGGTTGGTTTAGGCCATGCAAGTTATTATTTTTTTAAATTTATGTCGTTAGGCAAAGGAGAAACGAAAGATAAAAGGGATGTTCCAACTCTAAAAAAATGAAAACAACACGTTATAAATTTCATGTGTCCGAAGCGCTTTTCTGGATTTACCTTCATCAGGAACGCTCAAAGCCAAATATTTGAAAGCCAAGGAAGTATCAGAACCGAAACAGTTGAAAAGCTTTATAACCAAAAAGGACCGAAAAAAAGCCAATCCATCCAAGGTCAACTTTGCCTGAGGAAGTTGAAACCTTAGTTTCTAATAATTTCAAAATTTATTAACGGACAATTTTAGAAAGGTTTGTTATAAATCATGTCAGTACCAAAGCTGATGATACCTTTGGGGACTGATTGTCCACCAGCAGAGATATCGACCCATTGCTGTAAGAAATGAAAACAACATGTTATAAATTTCATGCGTCAGAAGTGCTTTTCTATGTCGAAAATAAACTGACAATGCCATGGCCTAATATGCAGAACTAGGCTCCATAAGGAGCCAATGACGCTCACCTTGATCTATGTGCATAATGTCCACTATCTTATATTGTAGACTAGGATATAAATCATATATTAAAATCTGCTTTTTGTTGAGCTGGAATTTTGATGATTTTTTGTTGTTTCTTTCTATATAATTTTTTTTTGTCCAAAACACAAAAAAAAATATTAAAAATTCGTAAGGGTTCCACGGAACCCAGTGTCTCGCCTACTTTCGCTGTTAATCGCAGGCTTAACAAAAATGAGGAAAAAAATTAATAAAAATATTCCTCTCTATACTATCTTTTGATTGTAAGTAGCTTCTGTCTAAGTTTGGTAAAAATCCAGGATAGTTAATGAATCTAATAAATGTTTTAAAAACTTAAACTGCAGACTATGTAATGTTAACTGGAAGAAAAACTAAGTCCATTTATAAGTAAAATACGGAAAAAATGGAACAAAATTTTAACAAAATTTCCTTCTAGATACTAGCTTTTAATCATAAACAAGCTTCTGTCCAAGTTTGGTACAAATCCAGGATAGTTTAAGAAAGTTGTTAAAATTTTAAAAACTTTAACCACAGAGTGAATGTAATGTTAACTGGCAGAAAAAACTAAGTCCATTTATAAGTAAAATACGGAAAAAATAGAATTTTTTTTTACAAAATTTACTTCTGGATACTATCTTATGATCATAAACAAGCTTCTTTCCAAGTTTGGTAGAAATCCAGGATAGTTTAAGAAAGTTATTAAAATTTCAAAAACTTTAACCACAGAGTGAATGTAATGTTTCTTGGCAGAAAAACTAAGTCCATTTATAAGTAAAATACGGAAAAAATGGAATTTTTTTTTACAAAATTTACTTCTGGATACTATCTTATGATCATAAACAAGCTTCTTTCCAAGTTTGGTAGAAATCCAGGATAGTTTAAGAAAGTTATTAAAATTTCAAAAACTTTAACCACAGAGTGAATGTAATGTTTCTTGGCAGAAAAACTAAGTCCATTTATAAGTAAAATACGGGAAAAATGGAATTTTTTTTTTACAAAATTTACTTTTGAATATTATCTTATGATCATAAACCAGCTTCTGTCCAAGTTTGGTAGAAATCCAGGATAGTTTAAGAAAGTTATTAAAATTTCAAAAACCTTAACCACAGAGTGAATATTTGTGGACGCCGCCGCCACCGACGACGACGCCGACGACGCCGACGGAATGTAGGATCGCTATGTCTCGCTTTTTCGACAAAAGTCGAAGGCTCGACAAAAAACCTTTTTTCAAGGGTAATACCTCCTATCAGAAGTAGAATTACAATTTCTGCTTTATAGATGTACATACATTTACTATGTTTTTAGATCTTTTCTTGCTCATCATTCTTGCTGTTTACAGTTTTAATTTATCTACTATACTTTTTTGCCCAAAATGCCCAACATGTGTAAAAATCCTTGTTAGAGGGCAATGACTCCTTTGAGAAGTCAACTGACAATTTCGGCCAAGTAGATGTATCTGTAGATCTGTTTCTGCTGATCATTTTACCAGGATGGATTATATGACCTAAAAAGTAGCACACAAGATGTGAAAAGTATTATTTTCATGAACTGTGTGCTAATGAGTTCAATGCAATCATTTTTTTTCATTGAACACAAGTGCAATACCCAATCATAAGAACTGGCTTCATAAACACACATACCAAGAAAACATAAACACACATACCAAGAAAACATAAACACACATACCAAGAAAACATAAACACACATACCAAGAAAACATAAACACACATACCAAAAAAACATTAAAACATGCAATGAAGGTAAAATATGAAAATCACTAAAGCATGACTGTAAGGCAAGAGTCTCAAATCTGAATGAACTTGCTTGTACCAACACATCATATATGAAGGTCTGGATGGGGGATCCTTCATTTCTACATCCTTTGTTTTTTTTGCCAATTTATATGATACTTTATCATCCCATTATTCCCTATTCTTCAAACCCTATCCAGACCCTCATATATCAACTTATCAACTGTCTGTCATAACTTTTTATCACAATTTGGGTACAGAGACATATTGGGTAGTTTGTGTTGTATTTTCATCATTAATTAATCAGATTTCTTATGAATCTGTTGATGTATATTTTGTACAGTTGTGGCAGGGCAAGTTAAGATGTCAACATTATACTAGATATACAAGAAGATAGATCAATGATACCCACTCAAGGGTCCTGAAGCAGTTGAGGAGGCAAATCTCATGATGTAAGGACCTTAATCACAAAATTAAAGTAAAATTTTATTTTACTCCAATAAATCAGAATTGACAAAAACTGATATTGGGAGTTCTTACAAAGGAGATGACAAGTACAAATGTCACTTAATGTAATCAAATGGCTATGTCTAGGCGCACATGTCTAATTAACTCCATTTCAAAATGTCAGATTGGAATTATTTTGTTTATAGTCATATCTTCATGTGATTAATTACTTTTGTAGCTTTTCTTTGGCAAATGAGAAACTACATGTGTGTGACACTGCATTGAAATCCATAATACAGTTTATGCAGAATTTCACTTGCAAGGTCAATACCCTACAATACTCTTAATAAACACCAATGTCAAATTATCTCCCCTTTGCATCAGATCTGAATTATTTTGCTTCTTGCACATCTTCACTTACTGTATATTGGTTTTTTTTTCGCGTGTGTTTTATTCTATCGCTGTGTTCACGGCACCTACAGAAACGCGAAAACTTGACCCCGCGTAAATTTCCCTGCCTTTTCCTAGATTTAAAGCTGTTTAAACATTTCATAAATAAACTACTAATTATCGAGTTTACATAAAATTGATATGTAAACTCATTTCACCCTAAAGGTGAAATTACATTATATATAAAATAAGTCTTTTGTATTGATCGGTAGATCACAAGAGTGTGTATAATTGATTAAGATATCTGTTTTTATAATAATTAAATTGGCCTATCATTCTTGTCTAACCTTTTAACAACACAGCAGACAGTGACATGTTCAAAAATGTTAATTACCGACGTCTATTGATTGTTGTCATAATCCGAACACTCTGCATTTAGTGTAAAAACTAAATTCAAATTAACAGATATTTACTCAGATATGCTTTCAAAATGCTCTGTTATACCAGCACAAACTTTATCAAAACCTTCATTGTTTACCATGCCGCAATGAACTTGATTTAAACGATTATTGAAAGATCTCCGAATGTGTGTAATTTAGTTTGTAGTACACATATTTATTTGTAATCAATTATCTGTCAATCAAATTTATTTTGTTTACATCTTTAACAATACAATAAGGTACTTTTTTCGCATGTATTTTCCCATTCAGCAAAAATTATACACAGTGAAAATTTAACTTGCCCATTTTGTCATCAAATCGGGAAAAAAGGTGACGCGAAAAAAACCTGACATACGGTAATGTGCTTCTGTTGTGTGATGTTACGTTGAATGCCACAGAATGATTTTGGAAGTGTCATCTTATACAAAAAGAATACCACATGATAATTATAACAAATACTTGTAAAGGACAATTATGAAGTCTTATCCATTACAATGTCAGATCAATATAATAAAATTATATGTGTGATATGATTGCCTTTGGGACAACTATCCACCAGAGACCAAATGGAGATAATGTAAGCAACTATAGCCATAGGTCACTGTACAGACTTCAATAATGAGCAAAACCCATACCGTATAGAAACCTATAAAATTCAAAACGTGACAAAATGTAAAACAATTTAAACAATAAAACTAACAGCCTATGTTACAAATAATTAACGAAAAACAAATATAATGGACAGCAACAAATGACAACCACTGAATTATAGGCTCCTGACTAGGGACAAACACATATAAAATACGGCGGGGTTAAACATGTTTGGGAGCATTCAATCCTCCCCTAACCGGGGACAGTGGTGTAAAAGCACCTCATTATAACAAACTATAAAAAAAATTCAAAGTTTTGCATAAAGGTCATCTTTATTTGGTGTGAAACTGCTACCTTTCTGTCAAATTAATCAGAAAATCCTCTTACAGTGTTAAAATGAGTACTGATCAATTTATTGAATGGTAATTTTTTTTAGGTATAAGTGCATTTGTATAAAAGTAAAATGGCAAAATAACTCAAAGTATAACAAAGCATGTATAAATATATATAACAAATAAATATCTAACATTTTGTCTATCACATTTAAAAATTAAATACGTTCTGTTAGCATGAAATTCACTTTGCTATAAATATATTAAAAGCTTTTAATTCAGTGAAATGGCAATAGATTCACATGGAATACAACACAGCATAGCAAATTTGTAATTTTGTTACTTTTAAATACATCAAAACTAGAATTTACTATGAACTTTTTTAAAGGCATATACACAGTACATAATGATTTTAAACATTGTTAACCATTAGTCAAAATCTTTTCAGAGCTTTTTGTCTTATCAAACTTTTTCTGAATAACTATTTTGGTGTTTATAACAATCAATTATATGAATCTGGTTTCTGATCTTTTGTTTAGCCTTTTAAGTAAAAATATATCTTTTAAGAATTTTAAATCCATTAAAAAATTAACATTTCTTATTCCACCTGCCACTCTTTAAAGAAGTCATTTCCTTTATTGTCTACTACAATGAATGCTGGGAAATTCTCAACCTCTACTTTCCATATTGCCTCCATACCTAAAAAAATAAAGAATATTTTGCATATGAAATAATTGATAATAATAAGTGGCAGTTTCTTTTTCAGAGGGTTAAAAAATCAAATATTCTTTTGGATACAAATCTCTAATGCATTGTGATTTCATTGTGGTTTAGCAATTTCAGTTTTTTTGCAAAAAAAATATTAAAATTTGACATATTGCACCTGAACAATACTTTAAGTTGTTGCTGTTGAAAAGTTATTTTAAACAGACCAGAATAATTATGGTAAAGTCTATTTTAAAGGCATAATAATCAATTGATGCAACATTTGTTACCAACTCAAACACTTGAGTTTCATTATCATTATAGAGCAGCTGAATAGAGAATCTATGTTACATCTGAGAATTCAACAAGAATATGTGTCCATGGGAACACCATGCCCTGCTCACACTATCACTGTTCAGTGTTAAACGAAATCTGGGTCAAACCCTAATTTGGTGTATATGTAAATTGTGGAATGGATGCAAAGACCAGAAAACATATTGCCACTCTGCGATCGAAGGTATGGTATAAAAAAAGAGGCTAATTAGTACATCCTTCATAGTTTTTCATAGATAATAAAATGTTTAAAGTTGGGTTTTTTTTAAATTATACTTTTTGTTTATTTTTCTGAAATCTGACTATTATATTTCATATTTAAAAAATTTCAATCTAAAAAATACTTGTATACAGCCTTTATCATCAATAGTATTACTATAAAACTTATAAAATTAATTATTTCCATTTTCTGCCGGTGTAAACTAACCTAATTCTGGATATTCTAATACTTCAACTTTTTTGATACAGTTCTGTGCTAGTATTGCAGCTGGACCTCCAATGGATCCAAGATAAAATCCACCATATGTCTTACAAGCCTTTGTTACCTGAAATAAACAAATTGTCAATAGACTAGATATATGTCAAACAAAAAACACTAATCTTCCTGCTGACAGTGTTTTCCCCAGTATACAGCATCATTGCATTTAAAATAGCACAGTTACTAAAATTACAGCAACACATTTATAATACATTCTGTTATAAAATATTTTCAGATAGTACTGTGGTACAAAAATAAAGCACTACAGAACTATAGTGCTATAAGGCCTTATGGAGAACACTGTGCCATAAATTCATGTTTTCCATATAAAATCACCAAAGAATACCAATTAACTTACAGTAACAATAGCAAATAGCTTTAGTTGTTTATGCAGTTCTTTAAATAAATAATTTTCATCCCAGCAATTTAAAAACGGCCTATATAATCTCTATTCTCTCATTTTAGGATAAATACCATACTGTATATAAGGATATTTTCGTGCTTGGCTTTGTTCTCCATTTGGCTTTTAAAGGGCAAGTTAAAATTTTGCTGACTTCAGATTTCCAATACTGATCTTTGTACAACGCATTTATATGGACAACAAAATATATTTGTGCATGACAAATTTCGTGTAAAATGTTGACCTCTTAAATAGCCAAAAATTAGACACAGGTAAAAATGTCCTGCTATCTGATATATGATGAAAGAGATACCTAACCAAATCACCTGTTTCTTACAGTAAAATTATGAATTATATTGAACTTTATAATAATAACTTTTTGAAGTATATCCACATACTGTGGACACTGGCCTCAAAAAGATTATATTTAATTTTATATAATCTTGACTCCATGCCAAAATAAATGGAGAATGTGTCCACATGGACACAGATGATGCCCCCGCTTGCATACAACATTATAAAGGGACATAACTCAAGAACAATAAAAGTGACGCTACCCAAATTTGTACTTGATCTGAGTTTTGTGGTAATAAGTATTGTGTAAAGGTTTCATAATGTTTGGTTGGGGCAAACTTAAGTTACAGAATGGAAACTAAAAATTTTGCAATTTTTCGATTCATAAAGGGGCATAACTGGATGATTAAAGTGACGCCACCAAAATTCAAATTGATCTGTGTTTTGTGGTAAAAAGCATTGTGTATAAGTTTCATAACATTTGGTTGAGGCAACTTAAGTTAGAGAACGGAAACTAAAAATTTTGCATTTTTTTCCATTTATAAAGGGGCATAACTCGAGAATGGTTAAAGTGACCCAACAAAATTCAAACTTGATCTTTATTTTGTGATAATAAGCATTGTGTATAAGTTTCATAACATTTGGTTGAGGCAAACTTAAGTTAGAGAATGGAAACAAAAATTTTTGTAATTTTTCAATTTATAAAGTGGCATAACTCTAGAACAGTTAAAGTGACGCTACCAAAATTCAAACTTGATCTGTATTTTGTGGTAATAAGCATTGTGTATAAGTTTCATAACATTTGGTTGAGGCAAACTCAAGTTAGAGAACGGAAACCAATTTTGGGATGTACGTACAGACAAGGGTAATACTTGATGCCCCCCTCCGCTATGGGGGGGGGGGGGGGGGGGGGGGGGGGGATAAAAACTGGTCTAAATAATAAATTCTCTCAAAGATAATAGAGAACCCATCTCTTATTTGAATGACATTGACTAAAATGAATTTCGCATATGTGTCTACTACCGAAAATTAAGGTGTTCCGCTGTTTAAATAATTGTATATTTTTGCAACAGTAATTAAGTATGGATAAATGTAATAATGGACTTTCATATCTACCTGTTTACTCCTGTTTCCTTTTGCTAACATGATCATACTACCTCCATCCTTTTGAAATTGTTCAACATAGGAATCCATTCTACCAGCAGTTGTTGGACCAAATGACCCACTGGCAAAACCCTAAATTTAATTCATCATATTATGTATTAGATTAGCTAGAAAGGCAATTTGAAAAGGTTTGTGTTTGCTTCAATATTCCAAACCCTTTCTGTGATATTTTACCATGAGAACCTAAGTTTATTACAGTTTTTATATAAAAGTTTGTGTTCTTTGGTCTTTAGTTTTTTGTGAAATAAAAACATTTTTGTAGATCATTGTATTACCAAGGTATTTTTTTAATCTTTTTTGATTTGGTATCATGTATGGCTTTTTGATACGACTTCTATAGCAACATAGAGGGTGAAAATACAGAAGGTGCAAATCCAGAAATTTCCACACAGGGGCAAAAAATTATTTCAAAATCAAGAGATACAGCAAATTGTTGAAAACGTGTACACATGCAACAATAGCATAATTAGGTCTTCAAAATCATCATTTTGATAAATTTATTTTAAAATCAGTAATTTTTACCATTTTTACATGAGTTGGGAATATCCTTGTAAACTCTGACAAAATGATATTTAAGAATTTAAAAAAAAAAATGGATGGACTCTGTACTTGTTTGAAAAAATTAAACAGCAAAAGACATATGTCATTATATTATGTTCAAATCTAACATTTCCAATCATTTATAAAAAAAAAAAACCCAAATATGTTCAGTTTTCCACAAGTTGACAATTTCCCTATATAAACAGAAAAATTCTAAAGTTAAGAGTTTAAGTAAATTAAATAGACTTGTTCTTTTAAATTTAAAGGCTCTTTTCTCTGCAAATCACATATGTTTATGTAGTCACTAACCTTTGGTGTTTTAGCAGGGCCAGCATAATATATTGGATGATTTTTTACATATTCAGGTAATCCTTCACCACTGTCAAGCCTTTCTTTCAATTTGGCATGTGCAATGTCTCTAGCAACAACCAATGTCCCATTCAGACTAACACGAGTTCTGATTGGATAATTGCTTAAAACCTTCAGAACTTCTGCCATGGGCTGATTCAAGTCGACCTTAAAAAAAGTATAATGTAGAAAATAATCTGAAAATCTAATCTGTTAAAAGCATTCATTGTTGTATCTTATGAATAATTTATACATGCAAAAAATGAATGCAGAATACTATATAGTGTACAAAAATGTTTGTTAATATATAGGTAAACAAACATTACCATGTATACACTTAAGATTAGAATTGGTTATATTCAATTTTTTGCTTTTGTGCAATACACTATGCTGTTGTGAATTGACCCCCCTCCACAATTTCTTCCCCCCCCCCCCCGCCCCAAATTTTTTTTCATCTTCCCCCCTTTTTTAAAAAAAAACTTTCCCTCAAGATATGGTCATAATCGAAGTGATACCAATATACGACCGCAAAAATTTTGCGGTCGTATAAAAACTGAAGCTTTGTTTCCGATTATATAATTATTATGTAAGCAAGAATGACATTTTGAAAAGATATTGCATAATTAGGCATTTTTATTATGGCCTAGGTCATTAAAATGTATGATGGAGGGTGGAAAGGAAACTGTAGTTTTTGGAAATGGTTTGTTGGTAATTTACAGTTGAATTTTAATTTGATGTATGCAAACTTACTGAACGTATTTTTGGTTGTGGGGAGCTTTGGACTTCCCTTCATACAATCCCACATCAATTTTAAAAAGAATAGCTGTAATTAACTATCTTCAGATCATAATGTAACAAATTTTTAAAAATTTGAAATGGATGCCCTTAAAATCTCAATATTCCTACAAGTAATAAATTCAACACATGATTCTGAACAATAAATGATAAAGTCATTGTTTTCTTTTGTTCTTTAGTACTTAGTTGGAAATCTGAATTTGCCTCTATTAAACTGAATGTAAAATATTTGGCAGCCATGTTGAATCTGCAGGCAAACATGGCAATTTTCTTACTGTTCTAAATCAAACAATGACCCTCATAATGATCATCACCATTTCAATGAGTTTAGTACGTAATGTTTTATTTGAATGTGCGTAATTTGTCACTTTACAATATTCGATCTGTTTGAACTTACTTGAACAACTTCTGAACTAAGATCTTTACTTTCTACTTCTGGTAAATATTTAGATACATTTGTTTCTAACTGTTCTAAAAACACTCCATCTTCTGTGATTTTACCTAATGCCTACATAAAATGGATAAAAATAGTAAAACCATATACAATACCTTGCATGAATACTTATAAAATGTGATTCCATGTTATTTGTTTTGCTATTTAATTTGATTTGACTTATTGTTACATATTTTGTGTACTCAGTTCAATGTTTTTTGTTGTTCAGACTACTCATATATTTCTGGGTGCAGTATTCATGGCTCAACATATCATTTTAAAGTGTACTTTCCTGTCAGTTTTTTTTTAGCTGAGTCTTCCCGGTCCATTATTTGCATGTGATATAGGGTAAAATTTGCCAAAAAATTGTCTGCTGCGAAAATAGGGAAAATTAAACTAATGCTAAAATTTCTAGATAAAGGATATAAAATTTTCTTTAGCCTTTGTCTTATTCAAAACAAACCTACCTGTCGATCTGCAGAGCATGAAACACCTATCCCTACAGGACAAGAAGCACCATGTCTTGGCAGTCTAATAACCCTAACGTCATGGCAGAAGTATTTCCCACCAAACTGGGCTCCTATCCCAGCTCTCTGTGTCAATTTGTGGATTTCTTCTTCTAATTTTCTATCTCTGAATCCTCTTCCATGTTCATTTCCTGTGTAATATACACATATAAAATCTAGTGTACACACACTTTTTTTAATAATTTTTTATTTGTTGTATATGTGAATTTGCTAAAGAGTTTTTAAGCTTTATCTTGTTTGTACAATGTCAAAAATCTACCGTTAACCATATAAATCACGGCTGATTAAGAATGCAAATCAGTAGATATGTCCACAAATATTTCCTGTTGAACTAAATTACAGTACTCTCTTCGTACAATACTACCTTTTCATAATCATCTAGTAAAAGTAATTTTTAATCCATTCGTTAGCAACTGATAATAAAGAGATAGTTAATTAACACAATGTAACATTCTAAAACACAAACTGTTGGACAGATTTACAATTTTTCTTATCATACCTTCAAAAACAATGCATTTAGCCATACATACATATTAGATTTACTCATTTACAAACAATTGAATTTTTATTAATACGCCTTTATGGATAGTTGTCTCATTGGCAATCATACCACGTTTCCCTTTTTTCATCAAACTGTATCATCAATTATCTATATGATTCTGCTAAATTATTTAGAAATTTCAATATCATGGCATTGTGATGACAAATAGATTTGATCCTACAATGTCAAGTGTGACCAAGAGCAATCAACTCAAAATGACAAACAGATTATCAAAATATTTAGCAGAGGCGAGTTTGATAACCACCTTTTACTAACCTTCACATGGTAAATTATCTAAATATTTAGCAGAGGCAAGTTTTACAGTCTTCAGATTAAATTCTGCCGATGTTCCTCCAATAACAACAGCCAAATGATAAGGTGGGCATGCTGCAGTACCTAGGGTCTGAAAACAGGAAGTTAAGAACAATAACAATTTATAAGATAAAGTACAGATGGAATAAGACCTTACAGAATGATGTTTTCTGAATGATTCAAAATTTAAACCATCAATCATGTTTAAATAGAATCAGTGGGAAATCTAGTCAATGAAGACAATAGAAAATTCACTTTTCTTATGAAAAAGTCGAAAATATCAATAATAAAACAATACCGGTGACAATACTGATCAATAGTTATTTCTAAACAACAATTGTACATTTTAAAGAAATTATTTGTTAAACTATGTTATTAGAAATATACATGCAAATACACGATTTTTATGTTCAGTATTTATCGAGATAATTGCATTAGAAGTTTGTGACACTGAAATCTAACTAGAGGCTCTAAAGAGCCTGTGTCGCTCACCTTGGTCTATGTGCATATTAAACAAAGGACACAGATGGATTCATGACAAAATTGTGTTTTGGTGATGGTGATGTGTTTGTAGATCTTACTTTACTGAACATTCTTGCTCCTTACTATTATCTCTATCTATAATGAACTTGGCCCAGTAGTTACAGTGGAAAATATTTTGTAAAAATTTACAAAAATTTACAAAATTTATGAAAATTGTAAAAAATTGACTATAAAGGGCAATAACTCCTTAAGGGGTCAACTGACCATTTTGGTCAAGTTGACTAATTTGTAGATCTTACTTTGCTGAACATTATTGCTGTTTACAGTTTATCTCTATCTATAATAATATTCAAGATAATAACCAAAAACGGAAAAAATTCCTTAAAATTACCAATTCAGGGGCAGCAACCCAACAGCGGGTTGTCTGATTCATCTGAATATTTCAGGGAAGATAGATCTTGACCTGATAAACAATTTTACCCCCCCCCCCCCCCCCCCCGGTCAGATTTGCTCTAAATGCTTTGGTTTCAGAGATATAAGCCAAAATCTACATTTTACCCCTATGTTCTATTTTTAGCCATGGCGGCCATCTTGGTTGGTTGGCTGGGTCACCAGACAAATTTTTAAAACTAGATACCCCAATGATGATTGTGGCCAAGTTTGGTTAAATTTGGCCAAGTAGTTTCAGAGGAGAAGATTTTTGTAAAATTTAATGGACAACAGACGACGACGGACGATGGACGCCATGTGATGAGAAAAGCCCACTTGGCCCTTTGGGACAGGTGAGCAAAAAAAATGTAATGCTGCATATTGATAAAAAAAATTAAAAAAATCATGAACATACAGAATCTAGAGATCTTTCGGGTTACCAATTTTCAGGGTGTTCCACTAAGTCCTTAGCATGTTACAATTTTCCAAAATAGACTATTTTTCACGTCTAAGTTTTCGAGTACACCGACCTGCTCTATGTCACATAAACATTCAATATAGAAATATTGTCTTTTCGTGAATGTAATATTAAAAGTCTGTCTGTACAGGTTAAAAAATTAAAGATAAATAATTCTTTTTACTATTTTTTATACAATTTTAAGAAAAGGTCGTCTCGATTTTTGTACATGTATTTGCAGTCTTTTCGATTTTTTCCCTTCAATTTTTACATAGGGATTAAGTCCTTTTGAATTTGCTTATATTTTTTTAGTAACTTAATTACAAAAATGTTAATCTTTGGTGCATATCAATCAATTCCTTTGGAATTTCCCCCCTGAACTCCTCTGATCTAGCTGCATATATATATGGATAATTAGCATGTTCCAGAGAGGTATACAGCCAGTTGAAAAATAAATTGAAGTTGGCACTCCAGGAATTTATTCGCATAGCAACATTTCAAACCAATTTTACATCAAGCTCCTATAGCCTGCTGTACTCATCGTTTACTTTTTAAGGAGGGAATTGATAACATTAAATAGAAGTTTTGTTTTTATTTCAACTTATTTCTATTTTAACTATTTACCAGAGCATTTTCCCGTGAATTTATAATTGATAGCATCCTTGTTAAAACGTGACAAACATTGAAAAGATCTAGTTTTCAGTGTTTACAGGGGAGGTAATATCTTGTCACTAGATTTCCCACTGGAATGTAAAGTGAAAAGATGGTGGATCTATATAGCTACATGTAAGAAATGATATCTCATTCACATATTAAATATGTTCACTGGATTAAATTTTTCAGGCTGTATTATTGTATCATTTGTATTAAATTTGTAATTAAGCACATGTAGCAATCTTGGAAATGCAATTGTAATTTAATTGATTATTCAAGATAAAATGGTGTATAAATTGCAATTGCAATGTAGTTGAAGGTTTTTGTAATGTAATTTTAATTTAATTAATCAAATTTCATAGTTGCAATTGTAATTTAGTTGAATGTTTACGTAATGTTATTGTAGTTTAATTCATAACATTTCAAAGTAATTGACCCCTGGTCTGGCATAAGAAAAGAAATACATGTGTATTTTATCTCCATATCTGCTGGCCTCTTGTAACCATTTATTTCTTTTGGAATGAGGACTAAGCACTAAAAACATTTTGCAACAATGCTTAACAAAACATGGGCATTTCATACTTCCTTCTCCAAAAAGAAAATTGGTTTTATATGTGCTTGAATTTGGGAACTGAAAGTACTTTTAAAGAATGATTTTTCACAATAGTGTTTTTGAGAAAAAAAAACATTTAAGGAGTGATATTTTAACCTTTTTTACAGTAAAGACGACTTCTTATAAATTCGGTCACCTTTGCTTTCTCATCCACAAACTTCAGAAGTTTTTCTGGATTCAGTAGAGCTTTAGTTTGTTGATATAGAAATGTTTTATTTGCAGATCCGCCTCCTTTGGCTATAAACAGGAAGTCATACTGACTTGAGTCTGTAGAATAGATTTCAATCTGTGCAGGGAGATTTGTCTTTGTGTTCACTTCTGTGTACATATCCATTGGTGCTACCTGAAAAATCAAGCAAGTTTAAAAGAGTGTCATGGACGTGAACATGAACAGTCGTACACATATTGATGTGCTTAATCCATTATCCAATGCATTCTTCATGCCTACATTATTACATTATGATGAGAAAGAAATGCTAAAAGAATTCAAAAGTATGTTCAACAGTCAGGACTATTCTGTAACAATAGATAATGAATAGAATATGGTCCATCTAAACGATTTAAGTAGCACCATTTAGTCTTCATAAGAAACAGATTTTTGTGGTTGTAACCATCTAAAGATATCAAGAATGTCCATAGTACACAGATGCCCCACTCGCACTATCATTTTCAATGTTCAGTGGACCGTGAAATTGGGGTAAAAACTCTAATTTGGCATTAAAATTAGAAAGATCATATCATAGGGAACATGTGTACTAAGTTTCAAGTTGATTGGACTTCAACTTCATCAAAAACTATCTTGACCAAAAACTTTAACCTGAAGCGGGACAGACAGACGGACGAACGAACAGACGCACAGACAGAAAAACAGAGTGCCCCTCTACTATCGTAGGGGGGCATAAAAACCGCAAATAACAACAACAACAAAGAAAATAAAAAAACAATTTGAGACAGTGGTGTAACAGCACAACATTAAGAAAAAACTGTTAAAATCAGTTGTTATGGACTCAACTCATCAGATGTGTACTAAGAGGGTCGTAATGGGGGTACCTTCATGCAATAACGTAAAACAAATTGCCAAATGATGTTAACGGTAATTTTTGGTGCATGAAGATAAATCATACACTTTCTTTAAGACGATAAAAAAAATCGACTGATTTTTACAAATCACGTAAATTTTTTTCCAAAAATAATGGTACCGATAATTATTTGAGACCTCTGACGAATCACGATAAGGATATTTTGACGAATCATGGTAAAATTTTAACCAATTTGATGTTAACGGTAGCCGAAAATTACTGTTTGAAGCCTGACGGTAATGGGCATTCCTACCCTCTACTAATCACATAAACATATAAGAAGCATAAACCTGCCACTTTTAGTTTTATCTAGCAAAATGATGTATACCTGAAGATAAATTTATGTAACAAATGGATGCAATAGAAATTAGCTATCGGGTCAGATCCTACAAATCAAAGCTAGGTAAAATATATTATGTGTAGTTTATGTGGAGTTTATATGTACCAGTACAAATATATTCAGGAAAATTACCTGTGAATACCTGAGATTTTTCTGTGTATATGTGTTATAAACACCTTTGGATAAAGCTTCAGCATCATTACCTTCTGTCCATACATACTGACCCTTCTTTCCTGAAAAATATAAAATAAATGTTTACTCAAAATATGTCAATGAGGGGTCTTTATTTCTGTATTCTTTAAATTTTTAGGCCATTTTTCTCTACCCATTATTCTCTTTTTTTTTTAATAATTTTAGTCCATTTTTTTCTTTTCTTTATTTTTTTTTTCATTATTCTATTTGTTTTGCCCATCATTCTCTATTCTGTAAACACCACCTAGAACCTCGTCAAGGAATACTTAGAAAGTAATCAATCAACATGATTTAATTACGTCAAAGAAGATGTTGGATAAACATTAACAAGACAGCAATGCAACAACAGTTTGAACAAAACAAAAAACCGTCTAAGAGTTCAACATACAATCCCAAATGAAAGGCAAGTATCCAGGCCATATGTCTTGCCATTTTGTCTTCACTTATATCTCTAGCTGTATCATAAAATTTTGCATTTCTCAATAAATCCCTTTTAAAGTCTTATTTTAACTTTCAAGCTAGTGTTATGAAAAGCATGCCCTCACTGTATAGCTGTAAATAGGGGGGAAGTATAGAGAGTTTCATCTCGACACAAGACAAAAGTTCATGTATTGTTCCTTTATAGGCCAATAAAAGCATGCAACTTCAGATATTCTTTATCTTCATATAATTTAATTTTGGATGTAACGCTTCTTCCGATTGGCTGACGTTGTTTTGTTTATCAGCTCATAGACATAATTTTGTCATGTGACTTTGACGTCATCAACGTTTTTTCATGATTTACTCCGGTTTAAAATGGAATTAAGAATTAAATTATAAGAAATGACTGTAATATTTTTTCTGTCTATTCGAAATAACATAAAAAATGTGGTGCACACTTTAAAATAACTCGCTATGTGGGTTATTCAGTGTGCACCACATTTTTGATGTTATTTCTTCATGGACAGAAAAAATATTACAGTCATTCCTTAAATAGTTGCATAAACTATCATCTGTTGAACAGTTATCAAGACAACAACTTTTCAGCATATTTTTAATAGTCTCCAATGTAAACGGAACCTCCACCCTACTAATCACCATCAAAGAAACAACTCTAAAAAGTATATATAAAAAAGAACCTGTATACTTTGTCATTCTTGGTTTCAACTGTTGCCCCAGTATTTAGATTTTCTTATTTAATTTAATTCCAATTAAAGTCACAAACACGAAGTCAGTAACTCAGTTATATTTAATTTAAATTTGAAGGTTGATAGGGTCTGTAAAAGATTTGTCTGTACATTCTAAATATCTGAAGTAAAACTAGAATTAGAAAGTGACCAGTACTGTATTGTCCAAAGAACAATTGGCAACATTGTGTAATATGAATCATTTCCCTACCCATACAAATAGCTGTTCCTGTGTCTTGACATCCAGGCAGAACCATGGCTGATGCTATGTTGGCATTCTTCAGAAGTTCTAATGCTACAAATTTATCATTCTCTGAAGATTCAGGATCTTTAAGGATATTTGAAAGTTGCTGTAAAATAAAAAAGATTGGATTCATAGTAATTGTTAAATGCATTAATATCTTCAAATTGCATGTTACATGACAATGAAAGTGGTGGTATAAGGTAGGCACACCATATTTTGATCAGTAAAATATATGTTTGCATTAATATTCTAAACAAGTTTTGGCCTCTCTACGCTCGCTGTTGTGTTTTACCATGACAGACAATACGACCCCTTTCCAGAATCCACCCTCTGAATTATCCGCTGTGACAGCTTAAAAATCAGTATTCCCTCTAAAACATTTGGAGAGAACATTATTTAATGGAATTGTTGCTTGCAAAGTGTTTTTTTTTTCTAACAAACAAATCAGGCTCATGATGCTGTGTGGCATACTATGATGTACTAGGCTGTACCATGAACATTTTAACATTTTTGTTACACAATAATCAATTCTGTATACCTGTACATATTAGGACTACTGGTATGTGTCAGACCAGCAATGATGCATATATCACCAATTCTTAGTATCGAAAAACAAGTCAAAATTCAATTTAAGTTCAAAAATTCAATGAACATTACCTGCAAGTGTCCAGGTCTAAGAAGATGTGCTATGTCTATCATTGCCTGTTCAGCTAGCAATGTTAAAGCTTGTGGTTCTACTTTTAGAACTTTCTTCCCCATTACATCAAAAGTTGACACATAGTCACCTGTAAAATACATGATGAAAATTATACATTAAACATAACATCAAAACTTGACACATTTAAAAAAATAAAAGAAGAATGTGTCTGAGAATATGAATGCCCTGCTCAAGCTTTGCAATTTTAAAAATTTTAAAAGGGGCATAACTCTAGAATGGTAAGTGACTCACTGCCCAAATTCGAACTTTGTCTGCTAGTTTTGGTTCTTAGCATTGTGTTTGAGTTTCATCAAACTTGGAATAGCAAAACTTAAGTTAAGAGTGTTGAAAAGAAAATGGTACGGACCTACAGACCGACAGATGGACGGATTGGAGGACGGTCAAAGGTAACACTTAATGCCCCAGTTGCCTACGGCGGGGGCATACAAAATATTAACCACGAAGAAGGCTATTTGATAAGGAGAAATATTTGTCAATTCTATCTTATTTCATCTTGTACGTGTATTACTATCCTATTTAAGAATTGAAAGCTTCTGTTTATAATTTTATAGGGTTGTAAAAGTGTTGACCAAAGCTCATTTTAAATGAAGCACAACCAACGCTTCAACAACCCTATAAAATTATAAAAAGAAGCATTCAATTCTGATATGATATTTTTATTCTACAACCATGAAATTAAGAGTTATATCAAGCTTTTTGTTTGTATTTCAATGCATTATTTTAACATTGTCATGGATAGCATGTGCAGTCATCATCATGATCATGATCATACATGTAGCTGTTGAATTTTATATGGAAATAAAATATGATATTGAAGAGCCTCACGATTGTTGACAGCCAATCAAAATTACGAATTCTAATGAAACATACATGTAATGTATTTATATCAGTATGACTGACCTCAGGTTACATACAGACAGTCAGTAAATTCAACAACTGCTGACAATGCCAGTGATTTCGACTCCAGCATTACATTAAATTCTACATACCCTTTCAATAAATTAATTGTACTTCCTATTCCATAACTGCTTCAATAAAAATAGTAAATGAATGAATGCATCTCATCACACAAATTCGCTAAATGATTATACAAGCAAAATTATTTGTACCAGAAGCCAAAGCAACTACTGTGCATAATAAAGGCATCGTGAAGGAAAAATCTGCACTTACAATAGCAGAAATCCACTAAAAAGAGAAATCGAATTATCTCAGTTATTGTTACATTTACATACCAGTTAGTTTTTTCCATGGTGTGTCTAATGGTTTTTCTGATTCCAGTATATCCTGAAAATGAAACGGTTTGACAGCAGCTGCTGCTTGTGCACTTTGGTTTCTTGTACTGACTGAGTAGATCTTAGCACAGATTCTTCTTACACATTTAGATGACTGCATTGTACCTTGAGACATAAATCAAAGATCTAAGTACAAACATGAAACATAAATTAAAATATATTGTTATCTTCACACATAAGCAGTCAGGGGTGCTACTTAAACAAGTGATTTCATCATCACTTATTTCAGTGATTTGATAAATTCAGTTATCACCTATTTAAGTGATTTTAGTGTTTTCCTTGATCTTCAAATGCTAATTTCATTGATTTTCCATATTTTCACAATCTTTTCTATAATTTTCCTACATAAATCAATTATCCCTTTTTCTTTGTATATTAATTTCACCAGTGCGCTTGGGCAGTAAGTTAGTGCGCTAAAGCTTTTAAAAGTACCCTTGGGAATTTTTCTGTAATCAAAAATTCATTAACTACTCTTACTATCAGACAAAGATCAACAATATTAGGTAACCTGATTGATTTTCTTTAGAGTTAGAATGATCTACTTCAAGGTTATGACCTCATCTACAAACTATTCCAGTTTTTGCATATTTTAAAAAAACTGTAAAAGTGTCAGGCTTCTCAAGCAAAAGACAATTTCTGCATATACATAGTTGTTTTTTCAATGGAATTGTTGTCTTTTTACCAATAAAAAAATCAAGCTTGTGTGAAAAATATCAAGAAAATGTTATAAACACTTATTAAAGTGATTACATTTTAACTTCTAAAATTACTTGTTTCAGTGATTTTAAAAAGTGTGTGTGAAAATTTTTTAAATTTCACTGCCAAAATCACTCGAGGGAGTGATTCTGAAATCACTTGTTTAAGTAGTACCCCTGACTGATAAGTCATATTATAAATGTCTCTAAACATTGTAAAAAATATTTGTTGAAAATAAGTTTAGATATCTTTAAAATTGAGAATGGAAATGGGGAATGTGTCAAAGAGACAACAACCCGACCATAGAGCAGACAACAGCCGAAGGCCACCAATGGGTCTTCAATGCAGCGAGAAACTCCCGCACCGGGAGGCGTCCTTCAGCTGGCCCCGAAACAAATATGTATACTAGTTCAGTGATAATGGACGTCATACTAAACTCCAAATTATACACAAGAAACTAAAATTAAAAATGATACAAGACTAACAAAGACCAGAGGCTCCTGACTTGGGACAGGCGCAAAAATGCGGCGGGGTTAAACATGTTTTTTGAGATCTCAACCCTCCCCCTATACCTTTACATTTTTGTACTTCTTCTAATACTTTTTAAAAATTGTTATTTATGAAATTCAGAATTATTGAATCAAACAACCACTTCATACATTTCTCATATATATAGTCATTTAGTTATCATCGAAATTTCAATAATTTTATTGAAAATCTTATGGTAAAGATACCAGAAATTGAAAGTTGTTAACAATCATCCATCATAATCCACAATGTAGTATAATACGTCAACATGAAGGTGAAACCTACCCAATACACATGAAACCAAAATTATAGCTTCAAGCACCATTTTTCATTGTAACTTTTGTAATAGTTTTTATATTGTTAACTTATCATGCTTATCAAACTAGTTGTTACTTTTATTTAACTTGAAATATCAAAAATTATCTGAAAACTCATCAAGTCCAATAGGCAATTTAGGAACTGCAACCATGACTGGAGGCTTATGATTTATAAGAATTTTTACTGTCATACGTAATTTTTATTCATGAAATGATGATTAATGATACATCAAATCTGATAGTTAATATTGCACAATGTATCAGGTCCGTTGAGTCCGTTCGCCCTCATCATTTATAAAGTTATATTTTTATTATTCATGGTATATATTAATTTTGATTTTATTTATTTTGTTCATTTAAATAAAAGGTAAAATTACTGGGGAAAAATGAAAATATTTTTGAAATTTGTTGATAAGACAAAGAGCCTCATTTAGAGATTGTTATTAAATGATAAATACAATAAATCTTATTTGTATTATACATTGTACGTCTCAGATATATGTACAATGCCAATTATGTATTATTCTGTGTTTGATCTCTGTTTTAATAACTACACGTAGCTTTGGTGGTTAAATTATGAAAGTATCATAAACATGATAAAAGAACAAGTTTGGAATTATAAAAATGTGGCAACTTAAAACACTGAGTGAACAAAGGAATTGTAAAAGAAGAAAGCGAATTTGAATTCACAGCATGGCTTTTGAAATTGAATTGTTTCGACTCTTCTAAATAAATTAAAAGAATATTTCTTAAATTTTTCACTTTATTTCAACACTTCTTATTCACATAATATCATGACACAATTATTCAACACAACAAACAATACAAAATAATAATAAGGGCAAAGTTGACATGGGATAAACAGGTAAGTGGGCGAAAAGGTATGTTGCCAAACGTAATAGGATTCCTCAGAAAATTACGTCCATCAAATTTTAAAATTGTAATAGGCAATGGCAAGAGTTTTCTATCAGATACGAACTACTAATTTATCCCTATCATTTAAAGTAAGGTATTTTCAAAATTTAACGGATTCTGAGAGACTTATGCATCTTCTAATTTAATTCTTACTGACCGAGTGTATTGAATGGAGCTGTGGGTGTAAAAGGCACCGGTTAGAGGTGAGGTAGTTATTAAGGGATTTTGAGGCAGCCAAATCAGAAAATCGATCCGAACTCAGAATCCCAAAGGAATTAGTGTATTGACAAATCAGATTCTAAGAAAATTTATAATGAGCCCTGACTAAACTTCTAAAGTGCTTCAAACAAAAATCGTTAAAAAATGTAATTAGAACATATAATCTAAATTGCTTAATGAACATTCTGTAAAGATTGTGATGTTTTGCAACCATTCATTAAATCTACCGAGGACCTGAACCTCAAAATTCTACTGATGAACAAATAACCTTCTGAAACAGAATTCTGCTCCAATAAATGTGTCAAAGAGGTTCCGAAAATAAAAGTATTCTGTCTCGTACAGACGCTTAGAAATAATATTATCCCCAATTAAGTAAACGCTTAAGTGACGCTGGTTACTTTCACTTTCATAAGTCGATCAACAAAACGAGGAAGCTAGTTTCTTAAAATAGATTTTATCAATTTATGTAAAATAATGGATAATCAAGATGCCCCAATAACATTTGAGGATATTGGAATAACGAAAACACCAAAGCTTGCTGATACCCGTTTAGGCAAGGTATAAATTTTCTTTAAAACTAAGGAAAATGTTATCATATGTTGATCATTGATTCTTCTTAGCTACTTCTGTTCGAAGCATGGGGTTTCTATTTTGACAAATATAGTACTTGTCTTCTTCTTTTTCTTTCTTCTTTCGGTTTTCAGTAGTCCTTCAATATCTGAAGATTATATACTGTTTTGCGCTGCGTGGCCTATATATATATTTACAAAAACACAAAAATAATTGAAAATGAATTTGGAGTGCGTAAGAATTTAAATTGTGATTAAAACTATGTACATAGGCTAATAATGAGTTAAATGAATTTGTGGAGAACAGTTGGTGTAAGCTGTTCTCTGAAAGTGTCGACTGTGGTTACAGCGACTGTGTGGACTGGTAGTAAATTCCACTGAGTAATGGTGTACAGAAAAAATGAAAATTTATATGTATCTTTTTTAGTAGAAATGTGTCTGAAAGTGAAACTATGGTTTTTGCTGGTTCTACTGTCTGATGGTATGAGAATAGCAGATGGGATTGCTACGATTTGATGTACTGTTTTGTAGAACATTATCAATCTTGTGCGTAGTCTTCTTTCTTGTAGCGTGGGCCAGCTTAGTGAGTTTATCATGTCTGTAGGACTACTGATGTTATGGTACCTGTTACAGACATATCTGGCAGCTCGTCTTTGGACCATCTCAATTTTAGAGGTTTGTTCAGCTGTGTGAGGGTCCCATACTGAGCATGAATATTCAAGCTTAGGACGAACTAGTGCCAGATTATCTGGCCCAGATATGCCTGGGTTTTGATGTTCTGACATGATGTTTTTAAATTTCTTTTTAAGAAGCCCAAAGATTTGTTTCCATTAGCTATGATGTTGTCTGTATGTTTTGACCATTTTAAGTTTGCTTGTAGTGTAATGCCCAGATATTTAGCTGAAGAGACTAGTTCAAGTTTGTGATTGTGAAGGATATAGTCATGTTTAAACTGTTTTTTCTTTTGTGATACCGCGAGGACTGTGCATTTGTCTGGATGGAAAGCCATTCACCAGTCTTGTTCCCACCTAGCAGCTACATCTAAATCTAACTGGAGTTCATCACAGTTACTTTGAGATTTGATGGTTTTGTAGATGATACTGTCATCGGCAAACAGTCTGAGCTTACTGGATTGTAAGTATTCTGGTAGGTCGTTGATGTATACCAAGAATAATACTGGGCCCAGAACTGTGCCTTGAGGGACACCTGAGGTGACTGGAGCCAGGTCAGATGACTCTCCATCCAGGACAACTGTTTGTGTTCTGTCATTTAAGAAGGCAGAGACCCAGTTTAGTGTTTCATTTTGAATACCATAGTAGTTCAGTTTATAGAGAAGTCTTTTATGGGGGACTTTGTCAAATGCTTTGGCAAAGTCCATTATAATTAAGTCTGTTTGTGTGTTGTTGTTGTTATTTGCTGCAAGCTCTTGGATGAATGAAATGAGTTGGGTTTCACATGATCGTGACTGACGGAAGCCATGCTGGAGGTCATACAATATATTGTTCTTTTCAAGGTGGTTGATGTGTTTGGTGATGATATGCTCCATAAGTTTACAGGAAATACATGTCAATGATATTTGGCGGTAATTTTCTGGCTTGTATTTTTCCCCTTTTTTAAATACTGGTGCCACATTGGCATGTTTCCAGTCTGTTGGTGTTATGCCAGTTTCAAGTGATGTTTTGATGATTAGTGTAAGAATTGGAGCTGTTTGATCTTTGAGTTCTTTTAATATTCTGCCACTGATGTTATCTGGGCCAGTTGCCTTATGTGGGTTTATGTTGAGTAGAAGTTTCTTGACACCTGGTAGTGATATTTCTAGTGGTGTTATCAGTCAGGGGACTTATTAAAATAAGTGATTTTTAAATCACTTATTTAAGTAGCAAATTCAAAGTTTTGTCACAAATTATGATTTTGTAGTTTTACCAAAATTTTAAACACATAGGTTTAGATAATATCTGTTCATTAGTAAAATTGAAAAAAATGAACTTTTTGCTTCTTTAAAGCAGCAAAGTTTATGCCTTTGATGCAATCATTTAGCTGCAAATTCTATTTTAGTTGAAAAAATGCTATAAAAATGGCTTTATATAATGAACTGATACTTTCATAACAGATTTTTCCCAGCAGTGGGAGTTTTTTTCCTGTAAAATTCAAGGTTTCATCTTATAGATTATGTAATAAAATTCTACTGTTCGCCATCAAAATTTCACTGTTCGGGGGTGTTAAAATTAGTGGGGGTTATTAAAATAATGATACTTAAAGAAGTGATTTTTTGGAAGGAAATTGAGGTATGATACTTAAACAAGTGATTTTTATGTCATTATCCTAGATTTAGTACAAGGTCATCACCTGACATGACCTGGTCATCCTATCAACAGATGTTGGTTCTGATAATTTTAGCAACATAATTAGTCCCTGGATCATTAGTATTCTATATTTAAAGCTACAATAAAATTAAATCACTTAGTCTAGTGATTAATTTGTACTACTTAAATAGGTGATTATTAAAGAAAGACAACTCTTACTTCCAACCTTTCTGGACATATTATGTTACTTGATTCAGTGATTTAGAAAATCACTCATTTAAGTAAGTCCCCTGACTGGTTATTGTGGGGTGTGAGCTAAGAAGAAGAAAAACATATATTCATAGAAACTGTACAGAGTCATTTTTCATGTCATGTATCATGATTCCATAGATTTACCAAGGATTTATATTGTATTTACATGTACTCTAAGAGAGTCAAAACATACCAACGAGACAAACTCATTAGTCGAAAACAAACTGATAATGCCATGTAAAAAATCTAAAAACAATCAAAATATAAACAACAGTATACAAAACACATTACCAAAGACTGAGCAACATGAACCAGCCCACTAAAAACAGGGGGTGCTTTCATGTGCTCTGGAATGGTAACCCGATACTGCTCCATATGTGGCACCCAAGGATTTACATTAGATTTATATCTTTTGGGATTCAGAACCATTTTCTGATTTGGTTAACCACAGATCACACCGTGTTACACAATGAAATGAGCTGCGTCGGATAGAAATCGACCTTATGCAAGTGCACTTGTACATGTGCTTGATTTTCGAACATTCAAATATGAAATAAGAGATGAATGTTGGTCTGTTTTGTAGGGTTCTTATATTAACTCAATTTTCAAGCAGTTATAGACTTTGCATAGAGGTTTTTTCAACCCGAAATAGGTTAACAGATGTATTGATATTTATTTGCATAAGGTCGATTTCTATCCGAAGCAGCTCAAATGAAAGATAACATTCATAAATACCTATATTTAAAAAAAAAAAAAACTATAGTTGTGTGTAATACGACCCCCTCTACCAACTACACATTTTTGGGGTAAAAAAGTGTGAACTATACATTACTAAATACAATAATGAAAAAAAAGAAACCCTTTGGTTTTTGTTGTTTAAATTGTTAATTTCATTTCCATAATAGGAGTAAATACTTGTTCAAGAACACTATATTTACGTACCATTAAAACGTTTAAACACGCTGCATTTGTTTGCACCTGTCCTAAGTCAGGAATCTGATGTTCAGTAGTTGTCGTTTGTTGATGTGGTTCATAAGTGTTTCTCGTTTCTCGTTTTTTATATACATTAGACTGTTGGTTTTCCCGTTTGAATGGTTTTACACTAGTAATTTTTTGGGGCCCTTTAGAGCTTACTGTTGGGTGTGAGCCAAGGCTCTGTGTTGAAGACCGTACTTTGACCTATAATGATTTACTTTTATAAATTTTGACTTGGATGGAGAGTTGTCTCATTGGCACTCATACCACATCTTCTTATATCTATATAAGAACGTATAATATATTTTCTTGTATAAGTAGGTTGTAAGGTGTCTTACTTGAGATTCTCCAGCATTGATGTTAAACTGTTTGTTCTCCTGAAACCTACATTAACAAAATGAGCTTTTCTTCTTTGCACCATCTCAGCCTTGTTGATGTCATTCTGTGTCATTGGATCTCATGCTATATACATCTGTGCAAGTATTCCATAACTAGTCTAACTAATGTTCTGTAACATTGCACCTTGATCTTATGTTGGCAGGTACTGATGTTGCAATTCAGGAAGGCATTAAGTCTTTGGATATGACTTTTATTGAATCCACAGAATTTCATGTGCAAATGAAAATTCACATTTTTGTTTTAACATGTTTATGACAACTGTTTGTTAAAGATTTTATAAGCTAGAAAATAACCTATATTTAAACAATAAAACTTGCACTTTTTCTGTTCATATTTTCAGAGACGAGTATTCAAGGATATTAACAAGAAAGAGATAGCATTTTCTACTGTGGCATGTGTATCTTTAGTGGCAGCATTTATCTTAGCCATCGTCAAAATAGTTGAACTAGCAAAAGATCAAAATACTAAAGATCCAGATTTTACGTTTGCTTTAATTGTCATTATAAATACAAGTAAGTACCGGTACATTTCATAAAATGAATTTGCATGTGAAAAAAGGGGGGTTGAAATCCTAAGGGGACAATTAAAAACCATAAGTCAAAGAAAGACAACACCATAGGAACAGTAGACAACAGTCCTCAACACATTTTAGACTTTAATATTTCCAATAGCTTTGTTGATGTTTTCAGCATCAAGAATACCAACATCACTAATGTTTAGTTTTCTTGATACATGAATGTTCATTTTAACACAAGAAAGAATTAAGAACAGATCATTTTATACCATAGGTTTATTGTTAAATTTAAGAACCGATGCATTTCAGTTACTAGTTATGCTAGTAAAACTGCTTATCAGTGTTTATATCATAAAGATGTACTTACTAAAGGACCTTTGCCATGGTACAAAATGACAGTGGTCCAACATGTATCTGTTAAATCTAGGTATTTTAGTTCAAGCAGAATATGTGGCTCAACCCAACCTGTGCAGATCTGTGATAATTTAGAACAAAGGTTGTACAAAGCAGGATTTTTACATAGGTCCAAGACCTTCCTAGTTAAATTTCTGGTGGTTCTAGAAAAATTATGCCAGATCCAGATGTTCTTAATTTTAATTGGCCATGGTATGTATGGAACATAAAGAATGTCAAAACATCTCGGACATGTTTTTTTCACATTCATCATTTCTTCAATTTTATACAAATAAGAGGTCATGTCAATGTATTTTTGTTTCTCAAAAAATTAAATGAATAAGTTTCTAAACAATTTGATTTCAGTATTTTGTCTGTACTATGTGTTGAATGGTATCCTTGCTGAGAGACCATATGAGATTTTAGTTTTTGTCTTAGCTAACATAATAGTGTGGATATATGTCATTGCTAATTATGCCATAAGTCCAGGAGATATCAAATTGGTAAGAAAATAGTAACATTATGACATCTTTTATTTAAATGTTTAACAAAAAAAAATAATCTTCTTTTTACTCAATTCATTGGAAATGTACAGACTGATAATTTAGTCTGGGATATCAAATTGGAAAGAAACTGTTTTAACAATAAGACATCTTTTATTTAAATGTTTTAGCCAAAAGAATTACTTCTTTATACTAAATCTGTTGGATGTGTATTGATTGATATTTTAGTCTGGGGACATTGTTTAGTTCTTAGTTGAACTTGGGCTTTTAACTAGCTTTCAGTAACTTTGAGTACTCTTAGATCAGTACTGTGTCTTTTGTTATTGTGGTTAGTACTGATCTTAAAGTGTTAAACCCATTACAAATTTTTAGTTTTACATTATAGTGCTTGGTTTAATTTATCTTCAACATTTATTTTTATTTTTATGAATGAAAGATGTGAGGTTTAGTACAGCAATACAACAAAAACAAATAACCAAAATACATCTATGCATGAAATTGAATATATCATTTGGTATTTTACTTTCAATATATTTATTAGGTTGTCAATTTCAAGACTTAATTTAATTTGTAATTTTAAGATAACAGAAATAAAAAATTAAGATTTTATGTTGTCATTAATGACAAAATTTTGAACTTTCATTCATATTTTAAATATTCTTATACATTTCAGAATAGGCTTAAATAACCTTTGTTTTCACTCAGTTTGAAATATAATTCTTATACATTTCAGATAAGGCTTGTACTAGCCTGTGTTTTAAGTCCAGTATTGATAGTCCTTGGGGTGCTGATAGCTAAGCTGTATAATGATTCAGGAAAACTTATTTTTAGAACAGTTGGAGCAAATACTGACCAGCAAACAATGTGTAAAACAATGTTTGCATTTTTTGGACTCTTAAAATTTGACCTACAATTAGGGGTAGGTATAATACTGTTATTTAGGTGTCAGACCACCTATTCGCTCCCTTCAATTTAGAATGTATGTAAAAGTAGCCCTACTCTGACAAAAAATAGTGCTTTTTACGTTTTTGTTTACTTAAACTAACCAACAAATTTGCAGAAATGAAACTTTTGGTGAAAGAGAAATATATTTAGACCATTTTGAGCCAAAATTTACTTGTCTATGAGTTTGCATTAAAAATTGAAGAGTAATGCACTCAATAGTATAATAATTTAAGATTTCCAGAAAACCAGGGGTTATTTTTAGTAGTACAACATGTACTTGGCTTCAGAAAGGCAGTTCTTTCTTACAAGACTTTAAACATGGGTTGAAAATTGACTTGTAGAAAGGTGATACATGTACAATTCAGGATATACATAGTTTCTATGAAGTTAAACTTAAGGTGAAATATTAAGAAAGCTGTGAAAATTGCAAAATTTTGGTTGAATAGATAGGGGAGGGGCCTGATGGGTTATTTTCGTTCTTCGTGATCGGCGCATTTTCGCTATCGTGATCCGTTTTTCTACAGATTTTTTTTTTTTATATTTTTTAGTGATCCGTGATCATGGAAATTTATTTTCTGTGAATTGTGATTGACAAAAAAATCAACTCGTGAATTGTGATGAGACCCCCCCCCCTAATATTATTTTTTTTATAATAAATGTGTCGTAATCAGTTCTTCTTTCGTCATAATTTTATAATGACAACAAATATTCTTGCCTTGCTCTGATTTTGCTATTGTGATGTGGTCATAATAGAATCTATTTATACAGTAAAAAAGTATGTCTAATTGTAACCCAAGTGGTATAGCAGATTTTGTTTTATAATCAGAAACACGTTCATTTTACATACACAGCTTCAATTAATTATTAAAGAGATTTCATTGTTTATCTCAATATATTATTTCACTTAAGACAGGTACTGTACCCTGTTTAAACAGAGTTTGGTATGGATAGCCCCCTGTATTTTGTGCATTGGTTGACTTTAGTTTAAGGAAACTGATCAGTAAAAAATTTTTTTATTGGAAAAATGTATTTAATAAATTTAATAGAATAATTGCTCTTTAGTTACCATGGTTACAGTACACTAGACTTTTTAACTGAGACTCATTTTCAGATTACTCATTACAATTTATTGGTTCCCAATAATTTCCACTTAAAAAGGATAAGTTTTATTTGTGGTAAAACGCAAAAATTATTAAGTTAGAATAGCTATTGTCAATACAAAAGTATATTATTCGAGTGAAAAAAATCCACACATAATTCAGTTGATATTATCTTGTTTACAGTTGAGTATGGTGGTATTGATCCTAACAAATGGAACAAAGACAGATACACAAGACATTGTTATTTTATCAATTGGACCTGTTTATACTGTTATTTGTTTTTTACTTGGATACCTCAGTGTAAGTACATTCATTCATTTATTCTTTTGTTCATTCCTTTATTCCTTCGTTAATTTGTTCATTCATTCATTCGTTTGTTTGTTCGTTCATTTGTTTTTTTGTTATTTGTTTGTTTGTTTGTTTGTACGTTTTGTGTCTTCTGACTTCTTCATCATTCATGTTACATTTTGCATTAATCTGCAGCTAGAAAGAACTCAACTGCAACTAGCACATATTCTTCATCAGGACATGAAGCTGTCCACCTACTTTAATCAGAGTGTTTCTGCGTATTTTATATGAAAAAGACAGGTGACACACGTCTTCCTTTGAAGACTCACATTTTACCAAACTTGACCTGAATCAGGGATTCATTCAGATTGATTGATTGGTGTTAAACGCCTTTTTCAGTACTATTGGCTATTTTGTGACGGTCAGTTTTTATTGGTGGAGGAAGCCAGAGTGTCCTAAGAAAACCAATGACCTTCGTTAGGAAAACTAACAATCCGAGTCAATTAAGATTGGAGTTGAAAGCACGTGCCATTTGTTGGATTTGAACTCACAACGTCAGTGTTGACAGGCTAGTGATACAGTAGTTGGACTACTTCGGCCACGGAGGCCCCTAGGATTGATTCAGTGTTGTTGCCTGCTACACATAATTAACTCTTACGCTAAGTCAATGTATAATCTTATAGGTTGCTGGAACATTTATCCCTTGAAATATAACTGTGATCAAAATAAAGATATGAAAAATACAGAAGCATGCTGAGAAATAAAGCAGAATTCTCATTGAAACTTAACATTTCTTAAAACAAATATTAATGACTTACGAGTATTTTTTCTTGTAAGATTTGGTATGAAATGAGTACCATATGTTTAATCTACTTATAAATTCTTAATTCTGAAATGTTATATTGATATGGATTGATATTGATTGATATATGATTCTGTGTCACGCTAATGCTATTTTAATTTATTTTTTAACCTTTTTAACATTTTTCAGGTGCGATGGGAAAACAGAAAATTGGCTATAGCTTTTGGGATTTCCTTGTTAACGCAACCAGGCTATATTTTATACAAGATTATTCAGGTAAACCTTATTGTGGCTTGTTTAAAAGTGGTTATTTCTCTGAATTAATGGGATACTGGTTGACATACAATAACTCCAATCCCTTTAGAACAAGTTGCTTCAATTCTGTGAAGCAGTTGAAAAGATATCAATTGATTTATTGCTTAATACTCAAATATTTACATTTTCAGTATTTTGTAACATATAATTTTTTTATAAGCAAGTTATGTAACCCTATGTAAAAAATATCCATCAAATACAAAATCAACAAGTGATGATACATTTCATCAGTGACCATGAAAATTATAATTTTGAATGATTTGTGCCTTGATTTGGTTAATTTCTGTTCAAATAACATTAGCCACATATACATTGACTAACATACTTTTTTGTGAGGATGTATATATCTTACACATCTTTCTTTAACAACTTTATGTTGGTTCAAGAAGGATGCTAATGCTTTTTCAGAAGGATTCTAACCTTTAAAATGCACTTGATCAACAAAAGATGGAATAATAATACATGGCTCAAGCTATCAACCTTGTCTGAAGTAAACATTTAACACGAATTAGGTTTATTCAAATCTGTATACTGTGGATTCATTTATTTTCGTTGGTACTTGGTACCAATTTTCGTGGATTGAGAACAAACAGTTTTTCGTGTCTATTTTAGTATTTAAGTTTGTGATTTTGTCCAACTAAATATTGCATATAAGTCTACAGAAAATTTGTACTTAGTCGAATACTTAAATTCCTGAAACTCCTCCTTCCTCCACCAAAAACAATTGACTGCCATAAACTAGCCAATAATGCTGAAAGTGGCATTCAACACCTATAAATCAATTTGAATCATCAATTGTTCTAGTGATAATCAATTGACCATATTTTTCACAAAATTGGTACTATATTATTTTTGGAGTAAAAACCTCAAACTTTATATTTGTCATAGAAATAAGAAGATGTGATATGAGTGCCAATGAGACAACTCTCCATCCAAGTCACAATGTGTAAAAAATAAACAATTATAGGTCAAAGTATGGCCTTCAACACGGAACCTTACCCTCACACCGAACAGCAAGCTATAAAGGGCCCCAAAAATTACTAGTGTAAAACCATTCAAACAGGAAAACCAACAGTCTAATCTATACAAAAAACGAGAAACGAGAAACACTTATGAACCACATCAACAAACGACAACTACTGAACATCAGATTCAGTAAACAATTATAGGTCAAAGTACGGCCTTCAACACAGAGATTTGGCTCAAACCGAACAATAAGCTATAAAGGGCCCCAAAATGACTAGTGTTAAACAATTCAAACAGGAAAACCAACAGTCTAATCTATATAAAAAAAAACGAGAAACACTTAAAACCACATCAACAAACGACAACCACTTAACAACAGGTTCCTTATGCCTTGTTCTTCTAGAAACCTTTAGAATTCCAATGAAGTCTGTTTAGAATTTCTTAAATGATTTTTTACCTTTCAGACTGGTGAGAATATAAATGATGGGAACTTAGCCTTGGCAGCTACCACATTTACATGTGCTGCACTTGCACTCATTATTCGTATTGCTGTTGCGATATTTGCAGTAAGGACATATATGAATTTTGGTTATGGATTATCAGAAAAAGGTAGAACTTATTGTAGTTTTTTTTTACCATATATTTGAAAAGTTTTTGCCCAGAAGTTTATGAAATAAACATGTGAAAGTTTGGGATGTACTTCAGTGAGACAGCAACCCACCAACACAATAACACTAGAAAAGAAACAGTTAACAGTCAAGTGTCCATAACTTAAGCTCGTAATTACCTCCAGCCAAAAGACATATTTTTACCTTTATGCGTAGATTGCTATTTTTGTGTAACTGTATGTCAGAAATATACTATGCATTATGCTTTTATATATAAAAATATGAAGATGTTGTATGATTGCCAATGAGACCACTTTCCACCTGAGACAAAGTAACTTAGAAATTAGCAAGTTAAGGTCACCATATGGCCTTCAAAAATGAGCAAAACCCATAGAAAGCTATAAAAGGCCCCAAACACTAACATGACAAAAGGTAATCAATTCTAACAAACAAATAACATTCATATACCTTTATTAGACAAGGTTCATTTGTCATAGATAAGTAAAGGTTTATACATAAAAGGAAAAAAACATTGCATAGCAATCAAACCTTGAGAGTAAGTGATATTTTATCTCTGTGATATTCAACTCCTTGAAGCAATGTTAATCTTTGACCTGTTTTGATTGTTACTTTAATATCCTTGTTGGGTTTCATGCTCTTAAATCATGTAAACAGTTATTTATTTGTCTTCTCAAACACTTGTTCTCAATTAATAGCCGATAAGATTTATTCCTACGATATATTCTGTTTCAAATTTTAAATTTAGACTAACCCTATAGATTTTAAAATGATCAGTTCTTTGATTGAATCTTTCTGAAAGAGGGTCATAAATAGAGGGGTATGTACAAGTATGAACAAGATAAAAAATAAATTGAAAAGATGTTGCACAAAAATAACCCTTTTCCACCCTCTTGAAAAGTTCCCAATTTTTATATTGTACTATATTTTGTTAGACATTGTCATTTTTAGCAAAAGTTTCCAAGTAACCAAGAAGAATTTTACTGACCTAAATAATTTTGTTGGTAGGTTTCAATGAATATGAAAAAAACAAACAGGATCAATTTGTCTGGTTTTATTGCAGTATAAATGTGACAAAAGAACATTGTTCAATAGACTATTTTCATATTACCGACTTTTGACTCCGAATTATATAATTTTTTCGACAGGTTACCTTTTGTGTGGTAAGACATCCTGGTACTAGGTCAAGTAAGAGCAACCAAAATAAGTAAAATCAAACATATAATCGGTGTAATTTGAGGGGAAGTTTACTGTTTTCCGATGATTTTGTCATGTAAAGAAAATGCAAAGCAGTTAATTTTCCCCCAAAATTATACTGATTGAAAGCTTTATTTTACTTCTTTACCTTGCTCTTTGACTTGGAACAAGGATGTCCTACCACAGAAAAGGTAACCTGTCGAAAAGTAGTATAATACAGAGTCAAAAGTCGGTAATATGAAAATAGTCTATTGGACATCTTTTTTTCTGTTCTTAAGATGATGTTACATAACATAGATCTTTATCCATATAAAACTAATCAGTATTTAAATCTATACATTTCAGTTTTTCCAATGTCAAAACATAGATGTGTTACTGATGGATCAAAAGACATTCAGGATTCACCTACTAGACATGCTGAAGAAGGATTGAAAGAGGATGACAGCTAAGGGAAATAACTCTTTAAAGTTATCTGTAATATTCTCTATTTGAATACTGTAAATTCAGAAATTTATGAATGCTTTTATAATATTGAGAATCACTGATCACTGGTAAAAATGAAACATCCAATAAATGCAAAAGAAAAATATTTGTGAAGCAAAATCACTTCTGAAATTATAAATGCAAGTTTTTATTATTGCAAATCTGACAATATCACATTTTTCGCATTGATAAAACATAGCAGTAATTTCTGAATTTACAATATTCAAGTTTTTTAAGTTATGAAATAATACTAAATACTTTTTTATTTTTCTAATTATTTAAAAAATTATATACATTTTCTTGTAATGATGTTATTAATTACTATATTGATACTACAGCAAGTTGTTAGATAGGAAATTTTATGACCTAAATTAGTCTTAACATAAAATATATCAAATGTACAATGGAATATAGAGCATATGTTTGTCCATGTCATACGATGTTGAAATCACAAGTTAAAAAACAATCAATCAAAGAATTCAGAGCAATTTAAGGACAGAAGAATCCATGAATTGTGTGCTTCCATAGTGGTATTGAAACTAATTTTATAATGTCTTCTAACTAATATAAAGATTACTGTACATTATATTAATAGAAATGAAATTTATTCAAAGTATTGTTTCAGTCTAAGGGACCAATTTAAAAAAAAATAGTTTCTTTTTATTCTCCCTCTTTCTATGCAGACAAAGATTATGAGACTACAAAATCCTGGTGAAACTTCTGTTATAAAAATCATCCTCAAGTTCCAAACATATGTTTACACATAAAAGTATGAATTTGAGTTGAATTGAAATCCATTTTTTATTTGAATTTATTGAAATCCTAGACTGGTTAATCCAGTTGTCCTAATAAATTCTCTTACAACTAAAGAGAAGTTTCAGTTGAACTTCAGGTCAAGTCATGGTAAACAAGTTATAATTTTTATAAGAATTCATCATTGACATTTTAAACTTGAACTAAAACTTCTCTTAAAATGGCACCATAAATTGAAAAAATTAGATTCAACTACCCAGATTTTTTTATCTAGAATATCTGTGAAACTTGTAATATTTACCATGGTATACATCTATTTTGATTTATCTTAGTGACCTGAAAGCATTAAGTAGTTATTTATATGATTATATCTGCTTTTTAATCGGCATATATATTTTTTTACATTATACAGTTAACTCTCTTTGTCTCGAACTCGGTTGACTCGAAATTTCGGATGAGTCAAAATTTTCCCTTGGTCCCCAACTTTGTTCCATACAAATATATGTATTTCGACTCCTGATGAGTCGAAATTTCAGTTGTGTTGAACCAAAGTTATGGTCCCAAGGTTAACAAAAGCATATAAATTGCTTTTGTTGTGTCGAAATAATATACGTATGTCAAGGCATGACATAGGGGATTTAAATGGATTGACCAGTTTATCTGACAACACACCTGTAATTAAATCTCCGGCCATTGTTAACTGTTCCAGAGAGTGTTTACATAATATTTTCTTTGATCACCATAATAGATAATTAGTGATACATTATTATAAATTATGAAAAAATAATTAAAAAGTTTTAAAATTTTATAGTCAATTAACTGTAATTAATGAGCTTGTTGTGTATACAGTGAGAGTTAGTAAACAACCCAAAACTACTAAATCGGCATCGTTATTCTTTTGTATTCTCTTGCAGGAAAAGATCAAAATAAAATAAAATGAAAAGAAATCTAAATTTGCTAAAATTGAGAAATTATTTATTTGTGTTGTTTTCTTTCAACATGCCTTTGAATCAATGTTAAAAATGATTCTCTCAGCAGAAAACTACCTGATCCATATATACAGATTTATTTTAGCCTTAGCAAACTAAGCAAGAGTTGTGTCCCATTATCAAATTTCCAGTATTTGTTTTAGTCGAACTACGGGTATCTGGAAATATTTCTCTGGTCCGAATGACTTCAAGATAACAAGAGTAGACTGTATATTTAAATTGATTTGATTTCTCACACAAAATTATTAATGCTATTTTTTAAAAGTATGTTAACTACTTGTAGACACGTGAGATTATTTTATCATTATGAAAACACTTGAGCTGCGTGGGATAGAAATCAACCTTATGCAAATGAATATCATTGCATCTGTTAACTTATATCCAGTTTGAAAAATACCTATGCAAAGTCTGTAACTGTTGAAAATTTGAGTTGACATAAGAACCCTATAAAACAAACCAAAATATATCTTTTATTTCGTATTTGAATGTTCCAAAATCAAACCAAGTCATCAACATGTACATGTATACGTGCACTTGCATAAGGTTGATTTCTATCCGACACAGCTCACTTTATAAATGAATATGCTTTTACTTGCCAGTTGAATTATTCAATAATGTTTTTTTGAAAAGTGTATCCCACCAGAATGTTTTTAGAACTGAGGATAAGAATATTGCAGAACACAGTAGATTTTATATGTAACTTAAATTGAAATATTCCTGAATAAGGTTGTCTAAAAAGGCCATTCAAATGAATCAGTGAACAGGGTACAGATAAAACCATTATAATGGGCTTTTTTCACTTAGCATTTTTAGCTCACCGGGCCCAAAGGGCCCTATGTGAGCTTATGCCATCACTTGGCGTCCGTCGTCGTCTGTCGTCGTCGTCTGTCGTCGTAAACTATTTCAAAAATCTTCTCCTCTGAAACTACTGGGCCAAATACCTTCAAACTTAAATAAATGTTCCTTAGGGTATCTAGTTTATAAATTGTATCCGAAGTTTTGATCCATCAACAAACATGGCAGCCATGGCTAAAAATAGAACATAGGGGTAAAATGCAGTTTTTGGCTTATATCTCAAAAACTAAAGCTTTTAGAGCAAATCTGACAGGGGTAAAATTGTTCAATTGGTCAAGATCTATCAGCTCTGAAATTTTCAGTCGAATCCAACAACCCATCGTTGGGTTGCTGCCACCGAATTGGTAGTTTTAACAAAATTTTGCAGTTTATTTTGTTATTATTTTGAATATTATTATAGATATATATATAAACTGTAAGCAGCAATAATGTTCAGCAAAGTAAGATCTACAAAAAAGTTAAAATGACCATAATTGTCAATTGACCCCTTAAAGAGTTATTGCCCTTTAAAGACAATTTTACACAATTTGTTCATCAAGTTTGCTAACATTTAGAAATCTTCTCCTCTGAAACTACTGGGCCAATTACCTTCAAACTTTAACTAAATGTTCCTTAGGGTATCTTGTTTATAAATTGTATCCGAAGTTTGTATCTATCGACAAACATGGCCACCCTGGCTAAAAATAGAACATAAGGGTCAAAAGCAGTTTTTGGCTTATATCTCAAAAACTAAATCTTTTAGAGCAAATGTGACAGGGGTAAAATTGTTTAATTGGTCAAGATCTATCGGCCCTGAAATTTTCAGACGAATCAAACAACCCATTGTTGGGTTGCTGCCACCGAATTGGTAGTTTTAACAAAATTTTGCAGTTTTTTGTTATTATTTTGAATATTATTATAGATATATATAAACTGTAAGCAGCAATAATGTTCAGCAAAGTAAGATCTACAAAAAAGTTAAAATGACAAAAATTGTCAATTGACCCCTTAAGGAGTTATTGCCCTTTAAAGACAATTTTACACAATTTGTTCATCAAGTTTGCTAACATTTAAAAATCTTCTCCTCTGAAATACAGGTGAGCGATTCAGGCTCTTGAGAGCCTCTTGTTACTTTAGCATTAAGATCTCAGTTTATTTTTTGCATTTAAGTTTAGATTATGTAAACAGTTAGTTACCATGGCATTGTAATACATTACATTACATTTATAAAAAACGTAATTATGTTGTAAAAGATAGACTTTTATTATTGGTAATTTTTTTGTGAACTTAATTGAGTTTTGTCAATTTCAAGATTGTTTAAATTGTTTTAATTCAAAAATTTAAATTTTACCTTCTTTGTAGCTTTTAAAATTCCATTTAGATTTTGACCTTTCACTGTTTGTGCATACTGGTTTCCTGCAATTGTAATGAAACAGTGATAGATTGTACGAATGGTTAAAAAGTAGTTATGAAATTCCATTAAAGTTTTGACAGGCAGCAATTTTTTTATAACAGATTTAGATGAAGTAAAACAAATGTATTTAAAGGAGATGTTTTATATTTTATTGTTTCAATTGTGATATTTGATAATCAAAATATTTATTTACAATAGAACTTTGATTTTCCCCACATTAACAATAAGGAGAACCCTATTTGTAACTCTAGACTAAATACTATACTTTAGAATGATTTAGAACTAGGATGGACACAGAAGAACAAATTTGACAGGTCCTTGAAGTTTCATGAAATGGAAGTTCTGTTGTATATTATTGTCATAATTTTGTTAACTGTATTTTTTGTTTGTAAATAGAAATCCTGTTTGTTATAGCTTATGATATTAAGGGAATCAGTATTAAAAAATATATATGTATTTAATCATTATGTAGAAACCAATTATCAGTGTAATTTACAATCTTTTTCTTTGCTTTGAAAAGTACCTGTTTCGATATATTTAAAACATTTTCGAAACAATGCTAAGGGTATGATGTTAAAAAAACTGAATAGTTTATTATACATTTTATAGTTGGAAACCTGAAATTTCTTTGCATAACAATTTGTTTTTCAATTTGAATGGACCAAACACTTCTCAATGAGTTTTATGACCAGTTCATATTTCATTGTAGTTAAAAAGTAAGGTAAAGTCATAGCAGGGTATGTGATTTTAGTTTGCCAATTATATATAGCTGGTATAAGTACTGTATAAACTCTTACAAAATAATATTTGAAGAGGTACTACATCAGCCAGTCTGTTCATCTGTTTGTGTGCCTATCTCTTCCCTCTGAACATAATATTTGTCCCCTGTCCTTTTGTCATCATTATTTATTTGTACAAAGAATTTGCAAACTGATATTTTCAATACAACTTTTCCCCACTCTCAACTGTTGAGTTT